AGATCACTACAAATGCAAAGGGATGCACAAAAAAAAACCAATACAAGAGATTGAATAAATATATTAGGTGACAATCATGTGCGAGTGGATTCTAAAAATGGCCTTCAAATTGTTAAGAAATCTATGGAGATTGGGGAAAAGAAATGGCTAAAGTGCTCGAGGTGGAATGGTTCCAGCTTTTCTTGGTCATAGACTTGTCAACTACTTGAGTTCGAATGTTTTACACGGGAAAAGAAAAAAATATTTCATAAATTTCTTAATTGTGATATGGATAAAGAATTCATAATGAAAGAGTTTGCTTTAAGAGTAAAAAAGTTTGAGGCTCTAACTGCATATCTGTTGAAGAATGATTAATCTATGTTTGATTAAAAAAATGCCACCTACTAGTGGGTAAAAGAACAACCATGAAATTAAAATGTGTAACAATAGAATCTCAGTAGTTAGTGTAAGATAAATTAAATATGTGCAAATATATAAACATAGCATAAATTAATAAAATATATATTTTTTGTCATAATTGATTAAGTATTCAAAAAATAATGTTTTTAAAGAGAAAAAGTTTTATAGTCTATGCTAATATTTTAAAATTTTATATGTATGTAGTCATAGAAGACGCAAAACTTTATTTATTATTTATATATATATATATATATATATATATATATATATATATATATAAAAGTTTACACTTTCATCCATCATAAATGTACATAGCATATCACTCGCAGTCTAATGGACTCTTAAATCTTTAATTGTCACTTATAGTTTTAAAATAAGGTATGATATTTGAGTCACACTCGAAGTATATTTCTTACAACACATGAATAATAATGGTCATCCTTTACAATCGGACTTCCTTCTATATATTACAATACATTGTATTTTTAAAATAAGTACTTAATGAGCAAATAAACCTTCGGTAGGTCATTCAAATTTAACTCGTATATATCCCAAAGGACTCGAGAAAACAATACTTCGTATGCAAAAAAACAAAAAACATCAATCTCTAAAAATAACATAACAATATCTAGACAATTAATGAAAAGAAAATAAAATCAAATATCAAATGGGTTAGCTAGACCCATATATTATGCATGATCTCCACACTGTTTTATTGACGGTGCTTTAGTCATAGGATCTACAACCATTAGTTCAATGCCAATATGTTTAATGAGCACTTTATGTTCCTTCAACTTCTCTCTCATGATGATATAATTTATTTTGATATGCTTGTTTTGATTTCTACTCTTATTATTTTTAGAGAAAAAAACTACGGACGAATTATAACAATAAATATTTACTTGTATTGATATGAAATCGTTAACTTTGAGACTATAACTGAAATTCCTTAACAAGATAATTTGTGTCATTGTTTCATAGCACTCATTGAGTTTTTCTTCTATAATAGATGAAACAAAAATAGTTTGCTCAATACTTCTCCAAGATACAACTTCCATCCTTTTGAGACTATTATGATTTTTTTTTTTTTGAAATTTGTTTTTATTGATTTCTATACCAACAACAAAAGATGCTTCACTCAAATTTTTCATATCAAAAATTTGAAGAAATAAATTACTTAGTCTCATAAAGTAAACTCAAATCACTATATTTGCTTTCACTACTTTTAAGGTATATACATTGATTAAAAATATTTTTTTATAAACCATATGAGATAATAATATTGTAAAACTTAATACACTATTATCGAAAGGCTTGCTTTAGCCTATATATAGATCTTTTTAGCTTACAAACTAAGTGATTTTAGTGTCATCACAAAGCACTTTCGAAGTTGATTTATGTATACCTCTTCATCAAAATTTTTATTTAAAAATATTGTTTTCACATCCATATGATGTAGCTTTAAATTAAAATGAGTTACCAATGCCATATAATTTTTATTGAATCCTTTTTAGAGACCAAAGAAAAGGTTTTATGGTACTTTATGCCTTTTTTTGTTTTGTTGGATTGATAGAAGAGCCTTTTACTATATGCAAATGCTTTAGGATTTTGTATGTATTGATGGAAGATATATGACTTTATTTAATATTTATATGGCTGGACTAAAAATCGTTTTTAAACCTAATTTCGCACTTTAATTTTTTTATGGATATGTCTAATCTACCACCGCAGTCCAATAAAATCTAAGTATTTAATTATCATTTATAAATTTAAAACGACACATGACACATAGAACATATTTGAAAAATGTATCTTAGTGTTAGGAGTTATGATATTTATATGTTTATTAACATGATTAACGAAAAAGGTTAATATTTGATATTAAAAAAGAAATTGACCTTTTCTTGAATCATGCACATTAATGAAACGACTAATTAGAACTATAAATTGTTAGATTAGATATATTTCTACTACATAGGTTATTGGTCTAGTAGTGAACGAGCTTATCTCCATATGAATTTGTCGTTAACGTGCAAAATTTGAATTTGGGAGTTGTATTTATTGAGAAATGTTAAACCTTATTGCTTATGTTTCAAACATGAGTAGTCATATTTTTAACGTGAGATGAAAATATCCGGATAAAACTTTACAAACTTGAGCAAAAAAGAAGAAGAAGAAATATTAAGTAAAAGGATAGTTTTATACACTTGGCTTTTCTTACTCAAAAGATCGAAGATGTGGATAACTTTTAGACCGAGAAATAAATGCACTTTGAGATCGGGCGAATCGAACCGTACATATAAGGATCCATCACTACATTACAAAAAAACTAACTAGAACCATTAATTACTATTCATTGCGGTATTTGAAACACTATTTATCCGAGACTTATTCACACTATTTAACCGGACTCGGATGCATTATTCTTTTCATTATGCGGTGGCATTTTTGTAGTTTTTAAATATTTTAAAAACATTTATTATTAATTTTTTCATGACATTACACTTTGGTCATTCTTTTTTAGATATTTTTTATTTGATTTTGATTCCACTTTTTTTTTTTGCACTTTTTTCCTTAATTTTTTTATCTGATTTTGTTAATTAAAAATTTTAAGGCAAAAAGATTAGAAAAAAATTACAAAATAAGGTTTTAGTTAAAAATATGGATAAAGATACATAAATAATATTTTTACTAAAAAATTTATGAAAATATAAAGAATAGTTAGTCAAATATAAAATGTTGATTAAAAAATGATAAAATAAATAAATTTTTATTCAATTTTAATTTAATACTTTTTAGTAGGTGTATAATATAGTACGAAATATTAAAATAAAATAATTTTTTAAAAATAATTTTATGTATTTTACGCTATGATAAAAAAAAACTAATCCTATCTATATTGAAATATATCTGTAGCTTTTTATCTCTGCACAGTTCTTTTGGTCCGTATTCGTTGGTTTTTTCTCCGTTATAGCTATTAGCTAGTGGCTTGGCCCTGGCTTTTTCTCGTCGAAAAACCTAGCTTTCCATACGTCAGCCATAACTTGATGAATTTTAAAAAAGTGGACTTTTCTCCTAGCCAGTCTCTTAGCAAATAAAAATTTTATAATATATAAGAAATAACTTGTAGTATGTATAATAATTATTTTTTAGATCTATTTTGAGAAGAGAGATAGACACATAAAAAAATATTGAGTCTTCTTGACCCTTTCTCGGTTTTTTTTTTTTTTAAATGCTGTATATTGTCTTAATCATTCCAACTACTGTTATGGATTGTGCTCAATTTTGTTTACCTGTCTTCGGATTGTACTCTTACCTTACTTACCCGTTACTTGAAATTTTCTTTTATAATATTTTTGCTTGACATTATTCCAGTCGGCATGATATTGAATTGAGCATATATTCATGATGAGAACTCACTACCTAATATAATTAGTATACAAAAAGAAATGTCTAACCCTGAGATGAGTTAGAAAAAACCTATGTCCAAGAGTTTTCATCGACTTAATTAAAAGTTAGTATGGCTAATGTGGAAAATTTTATAATATTCAATGAGTAACTAATGATATATATAATAGCTACTTCACGGATTCATTTAGAGGAGAGAGATAAACATATAAAATTATATCCGGACTCATTAAAAGCGATGAGAAGATTTTCATATTCGTTTAATTTTTTTTAATATTTTTTTTTAATGTTTATCTATTCTCTTTAAATGGATCTATAGATTAACTATTTTAAATGACATTAGTTACTTCTTAAGTACTATAAAATTTATGTAGCTAATGCCACTAGTTACGAGAAATAAAAGACAAATTGTAGTAATTCAAAAGCTTCTATAAATATCATATGACATATAATAATTATTTTTTTTCCAAAAAATCCAAATCAATCTAATCACATTGCTTTTTTTTTTTTTAGGCGTAGACAAATAAAGAAAAATTAGATATTTTATTTTTATTTTTCTTGACTTCCATAAAATTCTTTTTTATTTTCATAATTCCCTCCACCAATTATGGATGGACAACCTAGATATGGTGATTTAATTTCCCAGGTATTATTTGACAAAAAAATTAGTTGTTTGGAAAAATGGATATTAGAGCCATGACGTAGTCGCTTATGTGCGACTTCCCACCTACCCCAATTCGTCACACCCTTCAATTTTTTTTACAACAACGCGAAAGCCTCCAGATTACTGGACCCCACCTAAGTGCATGCTACCTTGCTACTTAGCTACTTACCACAAGATTCCACGTGTTACAATCCCACCCATTGAATTCCATGACAATCCAACGGCCAAGTACGCTTTTCAATTAACACAGCGGCCAACCCTCCCATCCCTCCATTAGCTTCTGCTCCCCAACCCTCTATTTAAAGCCACAATTTTAGGTGAACGAACTCAGGAATTTTGGGTGACCTGAAAATTCCTACATACATTTAGAGCCTAGCCATTTTATTTTTTGTACACTAAACAACCATCATACAATTTTTTGGTCTCTTGTTTTCTGCTTCATCATTCCAGTCAATCGATCGTTCTTTTTTTATTTTTTTGTTGCCCCATATTCGCATAGAGAATCATCGCTTTACAAGAAAAGGGAAAAATGGAATTTTGTCAAGAATCATGCAATGGCAATGTTTCGCTAGGATTCAACCCTAAGGACCCATTGAACTGGGGCATGGTGGCAGAGTCACTGAAAGGAAGCCATCTAGATGAGGTCAAGCGCATGATTGAGGAGTCCAGGAAGCCTGTGGTCAAGTTAGGAGGTGAGAACCTGACCATAGGCCAAGTAACAGCAATTGCTAGCCGTGACGTTGGTGTCAAGGTAGAGTTGTCCGAGGGGGCTCGAGTTGGTGTCAAGGCCAGCAGTGACTGGGTCGTGGACAGCATGAACAAGGGCACAGACAGTTATGGTGTTACCACTGGTTTTGGTGCAACCTCTCATAGAAGAACCAAGCAAGGCGGAGAGCTTCAAAAGGAGCTTATAAGGTAATTAAATCCACGATAATTTCCAAAATTTGCTTAACTCATCATATCTTATATATTTTCTAGTTTCTTTACTGTTCTTACATGTAGTTTTTTTTTTTGGTCGTAATTAATATTGTTAATTTGTTTCTTTAAGTAGGGGATTGTTGGCTTGTTAATTAGTGATATTTCCGAAAAAATATAAAAAATTATTTATGTCTTGTTAGAGACCAAAAAGGGGTTTTTATGTCGACATGGTTCCTCCATGTTTAGGTTGCTTACACGTTCGACTAAATATGTTTGCGTTAGCATCTGAATCATTAATCACATGGAGATACTGATCTAATCATGCAACACACGTATTGAAAATTATTACTGTCTTCTTTTTTGTAATTCTAAAGAATGGAAGCAAAAAGGTCGTTTCAACTAATTTGCAATTTTGGATCATCATTAGCAAAAATTACTAGACATATGGCAGTCATGATGTTAGATATGACATGATGTGATGTGTCATAAGAAAAAATTCTTTTTTTTTTTTGTGATAAATTTAGGAGTTTTTGGCCAGGAGGAGGGTAACACAAGTGACATGTGAGCCGTAATCTACGAGGCACAAAAAGTGTATTTTTTTTAAAAAAATATTTTATTAGTTAGTGCTCCTTCACTTTCCTAGAAAACGGCTTAAATTAGCGCACACACGTTTGATCAGCTGTCTTGCCAGGGGTGTTCCTGTTTGGTTAAAACCTAAATATCGAACTGTATCAAATTGAATTTATAATTTCGATTTGATTTTTTTTAAAAAATTTTAAAAAATTAAAATTAAAAATCAAAATTATTTTGATTTAGTTCGGTTTTTTTAAATTCGGTTTTCACCGAAAACCGAATTAGTTTTTTTTTTTTTAAACACATACCCAATTTTTTTTTAAAAAAATCAAATAGGCACCTATGAGTTTAACTAAAAGAGCAATAGCTTTAATGATTTTTTTTACTTAAAATAAAAATATTTTTCATTAATTATTTATTGAAATAAAAAATAATTGATTATATTATATTGACGCACAAAAAAATAAGAAAAAGACTATGACAAAGAAATTCTTTTTATAAAAACACAAATTTACGTATGGGTGAATCCTAAAACCTCATGAAAAAAAAATTGTCTCCTTGTATTAAAATTGACACAAACATAAATTAAAAATTAGATTTTTCATATTATATATTCAACAATAAAATATGCATAAAATAAATAGATTAAAAAAAGAATATGAAAAAACAAATAAAAAACCAATTATAACGTGATTGAAAAAATAATGAGAAGCCCAACTAATTTAGTTTATAATATAAATAGAAACATATTTATTATAGAAAAATAATAATAATCATACATAATTTTCTTATAAAATCAAACGTGAAATATGCAATATTTGATTATACAAGTTTGATATTTTTTAAAAGCAAAATAATTCAATTTTTTTTTAAAAAAAAACTGTTTTTAACCAAAAACTGAAAAACCAAACCTAAAAATCGAACATCAATTCGGTTCGATTTCGATTTTTGTTTTAGCTAATTTAGTTAATCGAAAAAAAAAACACCAAAACCAAACAAAAAAATCGAATGAACACCTCTAGTCTTGCCAACTGTTACTGTAAGGTTGGTAAGATTTACGTTGAAGTTCAACAAGGCGGAAAAAAAAGTCTGATGTGGTAGGTAGGCAATCAAATTAAAATAATAAAATAACACAGGGAGGGACAAGTGTTGAATATTTCCAACCGGCCTAATTATATTTAAATGAAATTCTAATTGCTCCAAAACCTAAAAAAAAAAAGTTGACGATCACTTTGATGCCTTAATTTTAAATAAAATGATCTACTTTGTGTATATCTCCAACTTAACTTTGCACATATTATTAAAAATCAAATAAAAAATACAAAGAGAAAACTTTAGTATTCCGGACGTAAACATCATTAATTATTTCTAATTTACTTTGTTAATTACAATTTGCAAACATTAAGAAAGAGTGCAAGAAACCAGCATAGCTTGTTACATTTTCCTTTTGAGGTTCTTCCAAGAACAATTAATAAAAAATTCCTTTACCAGATTTCTCCGACCCAGCTGAGCCTTTAGAGCCCTTTGCTATAAATGCAGACTTCTTGCAATTACTTTTCTGTTGTGATTTCGAGATTTTTTTTCTTGTACTTTCGAGAAAGAAACCAAATACTACTAGCATTTATTAATGGGGTCATATAAAAAAGTTTCTTTAGTTTTTGCTTTACTTTTGAGATTTTTTTTCCTAATAATTTCGAGAAAGAAATCGAATGCTGGTATTTATTGATGGTCCTTGAATTGATGGTACTTGAAAAGATCTTCTATCTGAGGTTCTAGATGGGCCACATGGTTAGCCAGTTAGGAAAATTTTTGATAAAGATTTGATAATGTTGCCAAATCTGCTTGCAAAATATGGTAAAACAATCAGTAGTTAAAATCTCACATTAAGCTGAAGATTTATAATATCTCCTTTTTTTACCGGATCATAATCTCCTAGGATATGTTAAAGATTGGTTGCCTTAAATCAGCATCTCACCTAAATTACTGGGTCCTAAAAAAAAAAAATTAAGTTCGATCGAAACTAAAAAATTCCAGTTTATGCACCACCATATCCTAACTTGACCCAGTACCAAATGCCAATACCCTTTTTTTTCTTTTTTAATGCGGTTTATGAAATCTTGTTTTGCCAGGTTCTTGAATGCTGGTATCTTTGGTAATGGCACAGAGACTAGCCATACATTGCCTCATTCGGCAACTAGGGCAGCTATGTTGGTTAGAATCAACACCCTGCTTCAAGGTTATTCAGGCATAAGATTTGAGATCTTGGAAGCTATTACCAAGTTGCTCAACCACAACATCACTCCGTGTTTGCCACTGAGAGGAACGATTACTGCCTCCGGTGACCTTGTCCCATTGTCCTATATTGCTGGCCTTTTGACAGGCAGGCCTAATTCTAAGGCCGTCGGACCCAACGGAAAAGCCTTAGCCCCAGCGGAAGCCTTTACACTAGCTGGGATTAATGGTGGATTTTTCGAGTTGCAACCAAAGGAGGGTCTAGCACTAGTAAATGGCACTGCAGTCGGTTCTGGTCTAGCTTCGATGGTGCTTTTTGAGACTAATGTGTTGGCAATCCTATCAGAAGTGTTGTCGGCAATATTTGCTGAAGTCATGCAAGGAAAACCTGAGTTTACTGATCACTTGACACATAAATTGAAGCATCATCCTAGCCAAATCGAAGCTGCAGCCATCATGGAACATATTTTGGATGGTAGCTCCTATGTTAAAGCAGCTCAAAAGTTGCATGACATTGATCCTCTACAGAAGCCTAAAAAAGACAGATATGCTCTCCAAACATCTCCACAATGGCTTGGCCCTCTGATTGAAGTGATTAGAACCTCAACAAAAATGATCGAGCGAGAAATCAACTCTGTCAATGATAATCCATTGATTGACGTATCAAGGAATAAGGCTATTCATGGAGGGAATTTCCAGGGGACCCCTATTGGTGTTTCCATGGATAACACTCGTTTGGCCATTGCTTTAATTGGCAAACTCATGTTTGCGCAATTCTCTGAACTTGTTAACGACTTTTACAACAACGGTTTGCCTTCAAACCTCACTGGTGGCCGCAATCCAAGCTTGGATTACGGGTTCAAAGGTGCTGAAATTGCCATGGCATCTTACTGCTCAGAGGTCCAATTCCTTGCCAATCCTGTCACCAATCATGTACAAAGTGCTGAGCAACACAACCAAGATGTTAACTCCCTAGGCTTGATTTCTTCAAGAAAAACAGCTGAAGCTGTTGATATATTGAAGCTCATGTCTACCACGTTCTTGGTTGCTCTATGCCAAGCCATTGACTTGAGGTACATAGAGGAGAACCTAAAGAACACAGTCAAGAACACCGTGAGCCAAGTTGCCAAGAGAGTTCTGACAATGGGCTTCAACGGCGAGCTTCACCCTTCAAGATTTTACGAAAAGGACTTGCTCAAGGTTGTGGACAGAGAACATGTCTTTGCCTACATTGATGACCCTTGCAGTGCAACCTACCCATTAATGCAGAAACTAAGGCAAGTTCTAGTCGATCACGCCCTGATGAATGGTGAGAAGGAAAAGAGCTTAAGCACTTCGATTTTCCAAAAGATTGGAGCCTTTGAGGATGAACTGAAGACCCTTTTGCCTAAAGAAGTAGAAAGTGCTAGACTTGAAGTTGAGAATGGAAATCCAGCCACTCCAAACAGGATTAAGGAATGCAGGTCATACCCCCTGTACAAGTTTGTGAGGGAAGAGTTGGGAACTGGTTTGCTAACCGGTGAGAAGGCTAGATCACCTGGCGAGGAGTTTGACAAGGTTTTCACAGCTATCTGTACAAGGAAGTTGATTGATCCCATGCTGGAATGCTTGAAGGGATGGAACGGTGCTCCTCTTCCTATTTGCTAAGCTATGGATGTCCTGTGATCATATTTCATTTTCTTTTTCCTTTTTTCTTACAAAGGTTACTTGCCATGTTAATTTGTAATTAACAAGCAAAGTGTATGTCTATGTTGTTTATTTACTTTTAATCATTAAGAATCTTTCATTGTAATATGAATTTCAGTTCAAAGTGTACGCCAACGACAACTGCAGTAATATACTTAAAGCCATAAGGGGGTGTTTGACCAAGCCTGATGTAAATCCAGCCAAAGCCCAGCCCATAAAACCGGAGGCTAGCATATACTAGAGTCACTGGGTGAGGGACATCTCATACAAAGCCACATAGAACCATCTCAACCGTTCAATCCACCGGATGTTAATTAATTCTAGATCAATGTTCACTTAATTTAAAGTAATTAAATACTTTTATATGACGTCCATAATTCTTTAAAATGATACTAAGCCACGTAGCAACATCTCAATCGTTCAATCCATCAAAAACTTTCAGATTTAATTAATTTCAAATCCACATTCACTTAATTTAAAGTAATTAAATACTTTTCTATGATGTTTGTAACTCTTTAAAATTATAATATCATTTGTTATAGTTATTGATGAAATTGTGAAATGGTTAATTACTATTAGATTAATATGACATTCAGTATGTGTAATACATGTCAGTAAGATATTAAAATCCAAATGCTAATTTATGTTAAGAAAAATAAAAATTTCAACTGCTAATTTCATAAAATTCAACTTATTTTTTGTATTATCAAATAAAAAATTTTATCTTATTTTTGTAGTAATAATTAATTTCAAAAATTAGATGTTAGTTCTCTAAAAATTTTCAAAAGTTTTCTAATTTATATTCTAAAGATATCAGTTAATCGATGCAAATAATATAGTTTACTTTTATAATTAAGTGGGTTCACGTTTATAAATAAATAAAATCTTAATATTTGTTGATTATTACAATCTATTTATAACAATTAAGGGTTGTTTTCAAAACACATATTAGAAAAATCTTAATTTCGATAATAAAAGAGATTAACTCCTTGGTTTTGAGTACCATATGATAAAAATATAAGACATGTGAAGATGATTGTTTCTATAAATGAAGTATCAAAATTAGTGAATATTGATTGCATTAAGAGATCAATCATTAATATAAATATTCCTTAAATTACTTAATTCCCGGACAAACAAAGGTAATTTTGAGGTCAAACGAACGCAAATATACTTCAATAAAACAAATAAAAAATCCACCCAACCAATCAAAAACCAAAAGGAGGATAGAAGCCCCGAAAGTGGTGGGGGTTGGTGACTACACCAACAGCTCACCAGCAAGTCAACGACGTGCTGGTAGTTCATTTCTCCCTCTATTTTTTAATTGATCTCACTTCAATTCTTTTATTTTTTTTTATCTCAATAGCATCCTTTAATTCTACATTTAGTATAATATGACCCTTCTCTTATCCCAAAGTTTATTCACATACGAAGAAAAATATTGCTTTAGTACAAGTTTTTTAAGGTTTAGATCTTATCATTAACTCTTTGATAAGATGACATATCTACATTTAATTAATTTTATTCACAAAGAATTATAAATTTTAACATTGATATAGATGTTATAAGATATTTAAATACAAATATATAAATAAAATCTAAAATAATTTTTATTGGATGTATGATTGATTTATATATGTTCTTACTTCTTACATTGAGAAAATAAATATATATTCTCTTAAATTATTATAAAAAAAAATTTCAATGGTGAATTATGATGCTAAATATTAGAGAATACTATAAATCATATTCCGAGACATCATCTAATAATTTTAATCTTTTGGGTAAAATGGTCTTTTAATATAGTATTAAAACGTTGCTAATCTAAAGATCAAGAGTTTGAATCTTACCACTCCCATTTTCTCTTTAAATTAATTAAAAAAAATAATAAGGAAGTATATTAAAAAATAACATAAATTATGTTTGTGAGTTTTATCTAATAACTTAAACTTTTGAATGAAAGTGTTATTTGACATTAGATTTTATCATATTTGCTTTAAATTTGGAAACATCAAATATGTTATCTTGTTTTCATACTTCTTTTCTTAATGTGTTAAAATAATACTTTTTTGATTTATTGTTGTTATTGAGTATTTTTTTAGCCATAGATGAATAAAATCAGAAAGATTACAGTTGGATGAAATCATAAAAAAAGTACGAGGACCAAAATAGAATACAATTAAGAGTATGGGAATTAAATACATTATTTACCCAGCAACAACACCCACTTACTATAAAATCTACTGCTTATCATCTTCTTTCGCTATAACCCGCTCCTTTCTGCGTACAGAGGCTCCTACATTTCTCTCTTTCGATTTCTCTCTCTCACAAGAAACACAAAATGGCGTCCGAGGGGATCTTGTTAGGTATGGGAAACCCGCTCCTCGACATTTCTGCTGTTGTCGACGATGATTTCTTGCAAAAGTAAGTCCTCTCTCTTAATACTTCTTTTACTGTGTTTCTTCCTTTCATTTTTTCAGAAACCAAAACCTGAACTTTGGTTTATTCGATGTTGTTCTTTCAATGCTTTGATTCTTAATCATTCGATGCTCTTTGATCCGTATTTGTTAGCTATTAATTAGTTTTTGTTGACTGATTAGAAATAAGAGGTAGATCTGAGCTGCTTTCCTTGTGTGTTTTGGTTTGCAATGACAGATCTGATTTTGTCCTCTCATTGCATGGTTTATTCTCTCTTGTTTTCTCTCTTTTTGAAAATTTTATTTTGAATGTTTGGTTACTGAGAAAAATTCATGTTTGATTTGAGAATAAATTTCTTAAATGTGAGAATTGTGCTCGATTTAGTGACTTATTGTTGTTTTGTATAGTTTCTAGATCAGATTTTGTTCGATTCAATTTAAGTATTCGGTGATTTGGTTTGCGATTTTCAATTGTCTTTGATTGTTTATTATAGTAATTTGATTTTTTTGGTAGATATGACATCAAGCTGAACAATGCAATTCTCGCCGAAGACAAGCACTTGCCTATGTAAGTTATTTTGAGATTTATGTTCCATCGGTGCATTTTGCTAAATTTTTTTCTTTGTCCAGGAGTTTAACACATTGTATTGATGCTTATTGAATTTTATTTTTTTGAATGTTTGTGAAGGTATGATGAAATGGCTAGCAAGTATACTGTAGAATTCATTGCTGGAGGTAATATCAAATTTTCCTTCATTTCAGAATTTAGCGATATTACTTTTTAAACTTTTTGTAGTCTGAGATTTTGACTGTCGAATAACATTTTTTTTATTGGTGCTTTGTCTGGTACTTTCAGGTGCTACACAAAATTCAATCAGAGTTGCACAGGTTTGTTTTAATAGATACGTCAGCGTACATTTTTGTAGGTATGCTTTTATTGTATGTGACCAATTTGTTCTGACTGCTCTTGACTTTTGTGTCTCTTGCAGTGGATGCTCCAAATTCCTGGTGCAACCAGCTATATTGGCTGCATTGGGAAGGACAAGTTTGGAGAGGAGATGAAGAAAAACTCAAAGGAAGCTGGTGTTAATGTAAGTTACTCTGCATGTTTTGTTTGCAATGTTTAGGTTGTTTGTACTGAATAGGAGATTTAACTAGAATGAGAAATCAGGTACATTATTATGAGGATGAGGCCGCTCCAACTGGAACATGTGCTGTTTGTGTTGTTGGTGGTGAGAGGTTAGTTTTACCTGATTGCCTTGTATGTGTAATTTGAATTTAAATTCAGTGCATCCCTAGTTTTTTCCTTACTCAATGCATTGCTGCAAACTGGCATTAAATTTCTCGTGCTTCCAAAATTTCAGAATTTGCTTGTAACTAGCATTATCTTTTATGGTATATTGCATCGTATCATTGAAAGATACAAACTATAATTTATTGACTTGCCTTTGTGAATGATTGGATTTTCATGTCTAGAGGGTTGCTGGCTACACCGGAGAGCAGATTTTATGTTCATTCTTGGTCCATTGGTTATAAAGTACCATTTGATTGTAAAAAGATTTAATCACCAACCGTGATATGTTGAATAACTAGATGATGTGGGATGGACAATTCTTCAGTGTGACTTCTTCTGGCATTGAGGTCAACTACAGGACAAATGGACCTGTGGTTCATGTTGTCTCTCAGCTTTAGTCATTGAGAGTTGCGCACTCCTGGCTATTGTTTTACTTTTACCCCCATGTGGCTCTTATATGTAGGTGTATTGATTCTTTCCAACTTCACAGCATGAGATTTTTTTATTAAATATTCATTTGCAATAGAAATAATTTGTTACTCCAATTTTTCTAGAGATCCTGTGGTACTAGCTGTACTTTTCTGCATATAACTTTCCCATCATCATGGTTACCATTTTTTCTAGCACTGGTCCTAGATCAACATTTTGTCCATTTTCCCTTCTACATGCTGAGCATCAGTGGTGTATGCCTGTTCGAGTTGCTAGCATCTGTGCCATGGGCGGGGCTATTAGTACTTCATAGAGTCTTTATGGCACTCCAAGTTGGACCGTCATTCACACTGGAGGAGTGCTATTAGCCTCACCCCTGGGCCAAATCTTTTGTTTTGGAGAATATAAATGACCCTAATCTTGTAACATCATAAAATATTGTAACCAAAAATAGACTGCATGTTGGTGTGAACTTTGCATACATTTCTGTCAAATTTTTTGGGTTAAAAGTTAAGTGTCTGTTCAGGTCACTCATTGCAAATTTGTCTGCTGCAAATTGTTACAAATCTGAGCACTTGAAGAAGCCAGAAAATTGGGCACTTGGTACAACTTCCATTTCTTCTTCTCTGCTTACGCCTTCAGCACCTTGTTTACTTGTTGGCCAGATGTCATGTTGGTATCACTTTTTTAACTTAATCCTTTTTTTTAACAGTTGAGAAGGCAAAATATTTCTACATTGCTGGGTTTTTCCTTACCGTGTCTCCCGAATCCATTATGCTTGTTGCTGAACATGCAGCTACAAACAACAAGGTAAAACTTGTGCAATTAGATCTTTCTCTTTGTAATTATTGTGTGTGTGTGTGTTTTTTTTTTTTTTTTTTGAAATTCAATTGTCTAAGACATGCATGTGCAGGTCTTCATGATGAACCTTTCTGCTCCATTTATCTGTGAGTTCTTCAAGGACGTGCAGGAGAAAGCTTTGCCGTAAGTTTGCTATCCCCTTCTTTGTTCATGATGTTTGTCAATGGTTCAAAACTTATTAACCTTTTGTCTGCAGTTATATGGATTATGTCTTTGGGAATGAGACCGAAGCCAGAACCCTTGCCAAGGTTCATGGATGGGAGGTAATTGTGTCTTGGTGCATTATAGTTAATCAGAGAACCACATTCAATTACACCATAATTTACCTAATTTTATTTTTCTTGTATATCAGACTGAGAATGTCGAGGAGATTGCTCTAAAGATTTCTCAATGGCCTAAGGCATCAGGGACACACAAGAGGATTACTGTCATTACTCAAGGTGCAGATCCTGTTGTAGTTGCTGAGGATGGGAAGGTGAAATTATTCCCTGTGATAGTGTTACCCAAGGAGAAGCTTGTTGATACCAATGGAGCAGGTATACTCTTTTCTTCCATCTTTTTAACCTGTCCAATGTTTGGAACTGCCTAGAGATCTTTAAGATACATCCTTTGAGTTGAATTTCAGTGTTTAAAGTTGTACTTTTTTTTTTTTTTTTTTTGAACTGAGGTTAATAATTTATTGATTGGTGTATCATGGGATTATTTCATGTATCTGGTTCCCTCCATCTAAACAGCAAACTTGCTAGAAAGCTAGATCATCTTCTATTTTGGTGATAAGAAATGTTAAAAAGATAAACATCTGTTAGATCTTGAAGTTTATTGCCTTAAGCTGCTATTAGTTTTCAGTATTCCTGCAGGATTCATTTGTCTCAACAAGAAAAATAAAATCATAATAGAAGACCTATTGTTAGTATCTTAGTAGTTCTGATGTCTCCCAACAAATCATAATAGCTTCTCTTTTGTGGCAGGTGACGCGTTCGTTGGTGGATTTCTGTCACAGCTGGTACAAGAGAAGCCCATTGAAGACTGCGTGAAAGCTGGTTGCTATGCAGCAAATGTCATTATCCAAAGGTCAGGCTGCACATATCCGGAAAAGCCCGATTTCAGTTAGGCTGGTATCTCCCATCCGAACCTTTTACTATATATGCTGTACCAGATTTTTCTGTACGTTCTCTCCTAAACATGATTGCGGCCGGTTTCATTATTTGCTCCTGAACCCATGTATTTTGGTAGAGGAGTGTTTTTTTTTCAATGTCATTAGAGTTGTACGTGCTTGGGATATCCTGTGGCTTAATCCACCAAGCATTTTTTTTGCTTTCATAAATAAAAAATGGTGAACCAGTTTTGGTTCAGATTGTGCTATTTATATAACCTAGCTAATAACATGGTATCATATTTCTCCCTGCTATCCTCTTGGTAATTCCAAACCATATACGATAATGATGTGATTGATCCTCCTTTTTCTTATTTGATTGGGTATGTCTAGCATGCTTTTCGTCCAAATTTTTTGGGAGGCCAGAATCGTGTGGATTTGGATTGCCTTTCAAGTTGTATTTCTAGCCAATATTAAACCCGACGATTATCAATTTTTTTTTTTTTTTAAATAAACTCTTATAATTACCCCGTATTTTTTGAAAAAAGAAAAATTAGAAGTAAAGCATCTTAAGAGCAAAGATGGTAAAATATCCTCCTACGCATGAGAGTTCTAATGAGTTTTAGTGTCCTAAATGGGGGAGGAAAGCACTAGGTCTTTTTGCTTGCTGTCCTTATCTAATCTGATCTGTAAAATTATTTCTAATCCGAAACTCTTTAAGGAGAGCTTCCTCTCTCCTACTTAAATTCAACTTGCTCCAAGTTTTTCTTGTTAATTCAAACTTTAAGAGCAACATCGTCTCCCCTATTTAAATGCAGCTAAAGCCAATTAATTCTCCTAGAAGGAACACTCTAAGCACTTTCTTTACCATGGCATCCATTCATGATTTGAGCTTAGATTTGATCTATGAAATTCTCACACGTTCGTCCATGGAAACTATAGGAAAATGCAGGCTTCTTTCTAAAGAATGCAACAGTATCACTTACGAGTCTACTTTCACTGATCTTCATATCCAAAGAACCAACACCCTGTCTGGTTTTTTTATACAAAATTTAAAGGGCTTGAAAGTTAATTCTTTCTTTGTGTCCAATAACACTTCGAATTCTTATCGTAAATTGTCTCTCAATTTTTTACCTGACCGTCGTGTAGCTATTGAGGCATCAACAAAGCAAGGTATTTTGCTTTGTAGAACAAATCATCCGCGATATTATGTGTGCAAGCCTACCACCAAACAATGGCAAAGAATTCCGAATCCAAAAACCCGATACGAGACTGTAGCAATTGGCATGCTCGTGATAAGATCGAAGCCTTTGCATTACAAGATCGTGAAATTCTCCTTGCCGAAAGTTCGCTGTCATGATAGAGACTTCTTTCGCTATTACTGCCATAGATGTGAGTTGTTTGATTCAAAGACTTGGACGTGGAAGCAGTTGGAGGAAGTAAAGATGCCAAAACACGAGTCACTTTATCCAAAGTCTATCGTATCTGTATCTGGCTCGCTTCACTGGCTCACCTGGGTAAAAAACATATTTGCGTTTCACGTAAACGAAGAAAGCTATAGCATGTTTTCGCTTCCTCTGCCAGTTTCTGAGGATGACAACGGCACGGACATTGCACTCGTCGAGTATGAGGGAAAACTTGCCGTAACCTACGCTGGTACGAAAGAGAGTTCCATGGAGTTGTGGGTCATGGAGAATTATGAGAAAAAAGAATGGAACAAGAGGTATACAATAAATATTGAAGCTGTAAGAAGAAAGGAACCCTATGCAAGACCTATTGCCTTCTACAATGCTGACATTGCATTGATGAAAGAATATAATCACCATGTGACGTTCTTCAACTTCAAGAATGGAAGCGTTGCTAGGTTGCCATTAAAGAACAGCTCAAATCATGCATGTTTCCCATTCCAATCCGATTTTGAGCCATGTGATTTGATGGATGGATTCTCATTGAAGCATCTGCAAGGTGGACGAGGAAGAAGTAAATCAAAGAGAACGAAGTGGCAATTAGGTTTAGGACAATACTTCGCTTTAAGTCCTAAAAATTTGTTTCTCTTCCTGCTGTTAGCCTTCAGTTTTTTCTGCTTTGGATCTAGATCTGTAGACAGTCAGATTACTGTTGTCGAAGATTAATTATATTAATAATGGTAGTGGATTTTTATTGTTCTATTAAATCTCGTTTAAGTACAGTATTAATTTCTTGCATTCGATTTATGCATCATAATTTCTTCTCTTGAAAAAAGAAGGATCAACAATTTTCTACAGAATTACACATCTGCAATTACAATTGCTTGTCAATAATGTACAACTAAGCCACACTTTTCTGTTCTTTCTCCTCTCAACCAAAATTGCTAAACTAGGTAAAAACATTGCATCTCAGAAAAATAACAAAAACTAATGATCCTGTTGAGAGTTTATACAGTGTAGAATGGTTTTGAACATGCTCTCATTGCATGGAATGCAGAGTTTTGACCCTGTGGTGAACCCAAAAACCTCCTCAGTGCGATCAAGCAATGCCTTGAAGAGAGGATGCTTGAGTAAAGTAACCTTGATGACATATCTTTTGCAGTCTTCACCTACATAAACTGCTAGATGACCTTTCGGAATATCTTTTGGTATGCAGTACTCGTCCTCAGGCAAAAGAGACCAGCTTTTCCAACCTTGACAATGGTTGCAAGTTGCATGTTTCAGAAACCAATCTGTACCAAGATTGAGGCACTTGGAAAAACAATGTTTGAGAAGCCTGCCCTTCTTTAACATCTTTAACACCATGATCCTATGAGAAAAAGGGATACATATATATATATATATACATATATATATATATATAAAGAGGGGAAGAGGATGGGAAAATATGGAACTGGATGTGTGGTTTTTATAATCCTCTTAACAGTATTTATTTTTACAGATTTTCATTGATTAATAAGCAGGTGAAAAATGACAAATTGGCATATTTTGCCTTTCCTTTTTTGTTTATGCGCCTTCTTTTTATTGCACACGTTCTCTAGATTATTAGAAAAGAGTAGCTAGTTTGATTGTGTTCTTAGAGATAATAATAAGAAGAAAAAAAAAGGGATAGATCTGGTTGAGAAAGTTCTGACATGAAAATATGTAAACAAGTTGCAATTTGTGTCTCTCGTGGTTCTCTTGGATATTTTAAAAAAATCACTTCACTGTAGTTCAGAGAAATAAGTGTGCTCCAAATCCTGATGAAGTACATATCTGCATAATTTCGAAAGCTAGAGAGAATAAAATAAGTACCATGACTATGCACTAATCAAGAAACTGTTTAAATATATATCATAATGAAGCTAAAATCACAGGGACAAAGATCATGCACTAATTTGAAGGACTAGAGTATAAAAACTGTGAGATCAAGTTTCCTGTCAAGTATTTGCTAGAGGTGGTTCTTGATCCTTTGCAGGAATTGGCAAACCTCTAAGGTAATTTTTTATGCCAAACACCTTAGGCTAGGTGTGCTTATTCCTCTGAATTCTGATGATTAGGTATCAACACACATTAAGAAATCAATCAGTTTTTGAAACTGTTTCTCTTAAGTGTTCTTCCAAACTAGTTGGCAGAGTTTTTTCACAAGAAACTGCATGTGGGGCATAGTTAACCCACGGGTTTGGCTTAAAGGACATAGTTTTGTTAGGACATACCATTCGAAAAAGTTAAACAGCTAGCCAATAGATTTTGAAAACATGGTTTGAATGATCTCAATGATTCCATTCTCTCCCCACCCAATTTGCAAGGGGAGAGAGGAAGAGTGATATGCTATGGTCGGAGGTTGGAAGTCTTTCTCACATGATGCTAAAAAATCTGGTAGTTTAATACACTATTTTTCAGTTCATTGCTCAGTTCTTTATATTATCTTTTGAACAATAGTGACAAATTGGTGATTGCTACCCTAGCTTGTAGTACAATTTGTACGCTTCCCATTCACCCACTTGGTGCCCTCTTTGATGATTGATATGAAAAATTGAAAGTCTGTTTCCCTAAATAATCTAATTTTTAAGTGCATTATGTAGGAGTAATCAATCAATTAGCATTGACCTTGAATCAAGGGTGACGTGCAGGTATGGATCAAGAAATTCTATTCTCCAAGACTCCAACTTTGTCTGGCGCATCCAAGATTTAGCCAAAGTAACCCAAAACCTAATCAAATCTGTGTAAAAGTAAAACATAAACAGATTGCGTGGAGAAGACTACTAAGTAAAAAGAAAGAAACCTTCATCTCGGCATGCTTGACACTTGTACCTAATGAAACAATATGACCTCACCTCTCTCATTCTTCCCTCTCCAATTCCAAACGTCAAGTTCTTACACAATCCACATCACTACGAGTGTCGGGCTTTTCACTTTATTCTGACATCTGGATCCTTACTAGTTTCAAATCTCTCAGGTCAACTTCCTCTGCCAAAATAGCCTCACTTTGCACTGCCATCTCTGTCTCTCACCATGGCTCTCTCTTCTCTTCTCTCCAAACCTCACATTACTTTCCTTTCCACCAAACCATCTCCCAACAACAAACACTACAAGCTCTCATCAACTTCATTCACTCTTTACAGTTCTCTCAAATCTAACCAACCCCACGTAACCAAATCCACTACTCTATCCAAAGCTCACAAACTCTCCTGGCAGCAAGAACTCAAACAAGCATTTCAACAACCTAAAAGCCAGGACTTAAAAACAAACGATGATAGCATTGATTGCAACATTGATGATATTGATGATGAGTCCTTTCAAAAATTGGTTGATAAGAGATGTGTAGACAATGTAAGAATGCTAATAGTAGATGCTGTTCAAAATGCACAAGCAGGTCACCCTGGCATGGCACTAGGGATGGCTGATATTGGATATTATTTATACAGACATGTTATGAGGTATAATCCAAGAGACCCCAAGTGGTTTAATAGGGATAGGTTTGTTTTGAGTGCTGGTCATGGATGTTTACTTCAGTATGTTTGCCTTCATCTTGCTGGGTTTGAATCTGTTCAGGTATTGATATTTTTCAGTCTCAATTCCCTTTTCTACGTCATGTTAATCTTGCCGTAATTGAACTGTCTATTCACTTTCCAGAAAACAATGTCACTACTAAATTGCCAATTGTTTTGAGATTAGCTTCCCCTGCCTGAACAGGGCAAATCCAGTTATTGATTAAGAAATGAACATTTATATCAGATTGTTTATGCCAATCTACACACAAATGCTTCATATAACAGTACAAGGATAATTAATGTGTGATCAACAAGAGGCTATTGTTTTAAGGTCTAACAACCTCCTGCAAAAGATAGAGCAGTCATTGAGTAAAAGACCAGAAGCCCTAATTTTGATTATTCTAGGCTATTCATGCATCTTTATGAACTTTAGTTTGCTTTACTCCTGGTAGTTCCATCTCCAGCATATCTGAGCTACAGGGTTCTAACTTAATAAATTTTTGTGCCACACTTCATTCAGCTACAAGACCTAAAGCGGTTGTGTAAGCTTGGGAGTCGCACCCCAGGTCACCCGGAGAATACAGTGACAGATGGCATTGAAGTCACAACAGGTACGTAGGAGGAAAAAGAAAATCTTCATTATGCATCGATATAATGGATAATTTATATAGGAGCAGTGTGAATATGCTTAATTACTAATGGAAATTTATACTGATTTACCTCTTATCTGATTCGTTAATAGGCCCTCTTGGTCAAGGAGTAGCTAACGCGGTTGGTCTTGCCTTGGCGGAAGCTCACTTGGCTGCTAGATTCAATAAGCCTGATTGCGATATTGTTGACCATCGGATGTTAGTATATACTCTAGCTAGCTCATTTTCATAAACAACAACATCATACTGTGCAGGTTGCCTTAGTCGAGTTACTGATTCTTATGTAGATATTGCTTCATGGGTGATGGGTGTGCCATGGAGGGAATAACACATGAAGCTGCATCTTTGGCTGCACATTGGAAGCTTCACAAGCTCACAATGATTTATGATGATAATCATAACACCATTGACGGATCAACTAGCTTGGCATTTTCTGAAGATATATCTGCTCGATTCAAGGCTCTTGGTTGGAACACAATTACAGTGGATAACACACATGATGATATGGATTCATTCAAGAATGCTCTTCTCTCTGCTTTCGGTGAAACTGAAAAACCGACTTTCATCAGGGTTTGTGCCTTTATAAAAAGTTGCTCACTTTTGTGCCTTAAGATTTCGGTTTTTGATATTTTCTGAAAGACCAACTATCCTGTATAGTGTATACACCCAATACTTCCAATTATATGTCTAATTGGAACTTTTAATCATCTAAATACACAGGTGAAAACTTTGGTTGGGAGACTGTCTCAAAAGGAAGGCACATCAAAGGCTCACCACGGAACCTTTGACGAAGACGATGTGAAGCAGATGAGACAGAAAGTTAAATGGGAGGATCGGGAGCCATTCCATGTCGTTCGTATGGTCTACAGGTTTGGTTTACTGAAATTTGCTCTGGTTTAGCAACTTCATTTTTTACAGCCGCACATCACAATTCATCCGAATAAAAATTATGATGTAAATACTGCAGGGAAATGCAAATTCAAACAGATCAAGGGGAAAAACTAGAGAAAGAATGGTTCTCTAAATTTGACTATTTCAAAAGCAAGTATCCTGAGGAGGCCTCTGAATTTGAAGTTCTTCTTAGTGGTGGTCTGCCTCCTAACTGGGAAAGCTGCTTACCGGTAATTTGCAGAACACAAGACACTCTAGAGTCTATATACAATTATACATCCTTAGATAACGTAGAAGGTTTATTTAACTTTGTTTCCAATTCTTTTGTACTTTTAAAGGAGTTCGTTAAATTCGGTAATGACAACATAGCATAGCAGGCTCTAAATCAATTTCATTTACAAGATATTGTTCTTATCCCAACAGACGTGGTCTGTATCAGACCCAGTGGATGCTACTCGAGGATACTCCGAAAAGTGCTTGAACCAGCTTTTCAAGGTGCTTCCAGGATTGATTGGTGGGAGTGCCGATCTTGCTTCCTCTAACAAAGTCTATCTCCAGGGATCCCAAGACTTCCAGCATAACTCCTTATATGGTCGCAACATACGCTATGGAGTACGAGAGCACGCAATGGCAGGAATTTCAAATGGAATTGCGTTGCATAAAAGTGGTCTAATCCCTTTTGCAGCTACTTTCCTTGTATTCTCAGACTACATGAAAAACTCAATCCGCCTTTCTGCCTTAAGCCATGCAGGAGTAATGTACATTATGACTCATGACTCTATTGGTCTTGGGGAAGATGGACCAACTCACCAGCCAGTGGAACAACTTGCTGGACTCAGAGCAGTGCCACGGCTTCTGGTTTTCAGACCAGCAGATGGAAATGAAACTGCTGGAGCATACAAAGTGGCTGTAGCAAATAGAGATGCACCTAGTGTCATTGCATTGTCAAGGCAAAAGGTGGCAGCAAACTTAGAAGGAACATCAGCAAATAAAGTTGAAAGAGGAGGATACATTATAAGTGATAATTCTGGTAGAAGTTTGCCAGATATCATATTAATCGGTACCGGCTCTGAACTATGTCTCTGTGAAGGGAGTGCTAAGATGCTAAGGAAAGAAGGGAGGAAAGTGCGAGTTGTTTCCCTTGTTTGCTGGCAACTTTACAACCTGCAGCAAAGGGAGTATAAGGAGCATGTATTGCCATCGAGTGTTTCGAACCGTGTCAGCGTCGAGGCTGGATCACCAATGGGTTGGAGTGAGTATGTAGGAAGAAAAGGTGTGGTCATTGGTGTGGAAGAATTTGGGGCTAGCGGAGCGTATTTGGATACATTCACGAAGTATGGTTTTACTGAAGAGAACGTAACTAGGGTTGCAAGGTCATTGCTTTCTTAATAGCACGTAGTGCCACAGACCAGAAGGTATACAACTTAAAATCTTCTCAGAAACACCAAAAATAGTTCTGTGCAAGTGTCATGAATTAGTCACTGAACATCTGATATTTCTTTTTGAATGAGCAGTTGGTGATGAAATAAGAACGCCACACATTAATCAAGTGAACAGAGGCATTTAGATCATTTAGCTGCTATTATCAGGTAATTAGCTGCAGTTTTCTCTAGAGGGTTGGGTGTTATTTCCAAAATTACTTGTATCCTTGTCCAAATAATAAGAAATAACACCAAAAAAAGTAAACTATCTGAGAATGTCACTGATATCCACACATTTTCAGTTTTCCAAAATGTTAAAGAGAGACCTTTAATTCTTTACAGAAAATTGGATCATTCAGGCTTCAAGGATCACACATGCCTCGAAACTCTCCCATGTCTTTCTCCAAACCACATATGGCAACCTGTGAAGAATATCTCTTTTTCCTAACAAGCACAACCCTTTGTCCTAATATAGGCAATAGCATCACCGATTTACTAACCCACTAATCCATCCAAAACTTCGCCGAGTCTAAAAGAAAATGGCCATCGAGAAAATCATTCCCACGTTCCTCATCTTGGCATTGCTTGTCATGGTACATGCAGCCGTTGACCCAATAACAGCATGTGTCGATAACTGTGTTCCACAATGCATGGAAACCGCACCAGGCTCGGTGCGGCCTAAATGTGAAGCAGCCTGCCTGGAATATTGCAAAACTCCATAAGACTCTGTTAGTGTTGACTGCCCTAATGCATTTGGCAAGAGTAGAACAATTAGATGAGTCTGCTACTGTACGTTCTAACCTGGTCTTTTCAGGTTTAATTGTTTGCATATGTCCAGTAGTTTGATGCTGTGCACTAGAATAGTGGGATTAATTTCTCTTTTTCTTTCATGTTGGGGATAGAACATTTTGCTAGCCTTCATCTGGGCTAGTTTTGTTCATATTCAAGGAAACAAATTTTATAAATTTGGCAAACAGCTATAAATCTCATTATTAATCGTTGAAAAATTATTATCCAAAAACAGATTTATGTGGCCCGAATTTGTCTGGTTCGTTGGTGTAACAAGTTCTTGTAATATGATTGATTTCGTTAATTGCTGGGGCCTAGCTAGAAGCTCACTGATCTTTTGTTTTTTGGTTTTCTTGGTGAAAAGTTTGTGAGAAAAGCCCCAGGATTTTAGTGGTGGGAATTGGTAAGGGCTAAAGAAGTGAGGTTGAAATGTGTGGTTGATTTTACCAACTATTCTAAATATCTATCCTGAAGAAAAAGGGGGAAAAAAACAGACACAAAACAAAATGGCCATCAAGAAACTAACCATTGCAAGCTTCCTAGTCTTTACATTGACAATCATGGCATGTGCAAACATGAGTGAAGGACTTACACATTAATTGTGCCAAGTTATGCATGCCAGCATGTCTTCAAGCACCACATTCAAGTGTCCCAGCCTGTGAAATAGCCTGCACAAGTTATTGCAATTCTCATGGTACAGGTGCTGCAAAAAGTGCTCGTTCTGTTGACTGGACTACTACAGTACATTGCGCAATTAATTTGATTCAAACCTAATTTTCAGGTTTAGTTGCTGTTGTTGTATTCTTTATATGGTTGCAGCAATAGTTTCGTGAAGCCCATTGGAACAGTTTGGTTTGTTCTGGATCTTAAACCTAGTTTTCAGTTTTGAGATATTGTTAGGGAATGAGAATTGTAGCCAGCTATATTCAATAAGGTTAACTAACGAAATGAGTTTTAGTTAATTAAATAAGTGATTTTTTTAATTTTGAATCTTTGTATAACTCATTTTATAGTTGTATCCGTTATATAAGTCTGATAGAATAATTAAAGATTAATCTTTCTTTTAAACCTGAGTTATCTTGAAAATCCAAAAAAAAAAAAAATGTAGCCAGCTATTACCAGCAGAATAAATGAAACTTGGAACAGTTTTCAACCCTTAACTAGCAAGGCCTGAAACATCGGATGTAGAACCTAGGAGTTAGGAAACAGGACTATACGACCATTGAATTACAGTCTATCCCAATGTTTACTGTAAATGTAATTTAGGAGCTTTCTATGGATAAGAGAAAGAGAAAACTTAAGATAAATAGTTTAAAATCGAAACCGTAATATGATGAATTAGAGACTTTTTTTTTTTATCATTTCATCTACAGTCTTTGACGGTAAATACTTACGATAATTAGTTGAAAATCCTCTTTCCATACGGTTACGCAATGGCCATGCAAAAATGTATAATTCCCGTGATGATTTGATGGGCCGAAAGATCACCGATGCCCTTCCCTCTTTCTTTTTAGTAATATCAATTTGTTTTAATATAGTCACCTAATTAATTTGATATTTTTTTATCATGTCAAATTTATTCGGTATTCAAATTTTTGGTATTTTTTTTTTAAAAAAAACTATCCTAACTAAAAATTTTGAATTTTCACTAAAAGATTTTGGGTTAATTTCAAGAAGGATAGAGAGGAATCAGAAGAAATACTCCTATTATCTAGTGTTAACTCTTCAAATCCCCAATTTAACAATATATGTATTTTTTAATTTTATGATTTGAGGGTATTGTGGAACCAAATTAGTAAATTACCATCAATATGCAAGTATTATAAAACTAAAAAAAAATAATAACTTTTGATAATTTCAAATATATTTTTTATTTTTTATATGAAAACGAATCTAATTCCGTAGCTTTTAAACAACTTACTACTAATATATATATATATATATATTACTAAATATACTAAAACAAAACATAAAAAACATTATGCACACAATGCAATATTCACATACTCAACTTTTATTATTTATTTACCATGCAATGTCTCTAGAATCACTATTAATTTATTCATTGTTTTTGCAACCGTTTGCCTCAAATATACACTTTAGTCTCTCGAATATTATTTTTTTGATTTATAACTTTATTTTTTATTCATTTTGGTCCTTACATGCTAAGAAAAAAGAGAAACGAGGAAGAGAAAAGGGATGAGATAGAGAGGAGGGATGACGAGGCTCGTTTTGATCACCCAACAATCGAGTTTGCTACCATTTTGTTCACCTCAAAGAAATAAATCGAGATCTGAAAATATTTTGAATTTTTTTATTTTAATTTGAATTTTTGTGTGTTTTGTGTAAATTAAAATGAGTTTTGAGATTATAAAATAAGTTTGTTTCTGTTATTTCGTAATTTTGAGATGTTTTTCACTAAAAACGTAACTAAATTTGGTTTTGGAAGGCTAAAAATTGAGATACCCGACTTTTCAATAACTTTTTCGACAAAATCAAACTCGCTGAAAATTACGGATGTCATAAAAAATAAGAAACAATAATTTTAATAATTTTTTTTCCCAAGCTCGGTCCTCCAAGCTTAGGTGTGTTGCCTTGGTTGTCGAGGCCTAGGCGCAGGGGTTTGGTCTGTCTAGGCTCAAGCGCGTGAGCTTGTTCCTTTGTTTTTTTTTTTTTTTTAATTAAGAATTTTTAGGTCAAATTTATGAAACATCAAATGTTGTTATTTTTATTTCTCACGCAACGTAACTAGGATAATAAACATACACACGGACACTATCTTTTATATGTTAAAATTAACATATATTTATGATCATATTATTGTCACTTTTTAAAATTTATTATTTGAATTTGTCATTTTTATGAAAATTCTCATCCAGATCAATATTTTTTTATATAGAATTTTATTTAGTGATAAACATAATTAATTTTTCTCTAAATTTAAATTTTAGAATAAAATTTTAAGACATGATCGTTTTTTTTAAAAATAAATTGATATAATATATATTATGAATTCTTAAAATTTCTAAATTATAGTTGCATGTATATAAATGTATAATTATCTTAATCTAAATAGTTAAAAGTGTATTTTATACAATTTGTCTCGGTTTACTAAATATGGCCACGAAATATACATATAAAAAAAACTATTGAATCATCGGTTTTATTTAAAAATAACTATACATCTTCATATGTAACACCAACTATTTGCTACAAATATTTTTTTTTAACATCATAGAATTAATTTCTTTAAAATAAAATAATTTAATTAATTTTTTTAAAGAAACTAACCAATTATTCAAATACGAGTTTTTTATGCTAACTTTATCGATTAATTTGTAAATAAATATATAAAAATCAAATGCATATACTTTCAAAAATTAATATTCTCATTAGCATTAAATAAAAATTAAAAAAATTATTAGTTAATTTTCATACAAATCTATACAAATTAATTTTTATACAAGTATATACATGAATTGGAACTTTATTTTTTGAATATATATATTAAAGCATTTTTTAATTTTGTATTAATATTCTGCTTAAAATTATTATAAATTTTGATTTAAGAATCAATGAATAATAAAGAATAAATTATGTTTTTTTTTAAAGTAGAAAATTTATGCATAACATAAAAAAATTAACAAAAAAATGATAAAATTTTGGAAAGATTTTATTTTGCCCCGCCCGTAAACAGCTAGTATATTCTAAAAAATATCCAAGGGGCCTACATCATCAAATCAAGAATTCATAATTTACTAGAATATTAATGTTCTTGATGACCACGTAAACCTTTACAACGGTATAACCTTCATACACCTTAGATGTCCCTTTCTATATTTTGTCACGGGCTACTGCTAATCTGCGCTCTTAGGTACGCAACACACCCCTTGTTTGGCGCTAAAAAATGGGCCCCCAACTGAAATCGCAGGGTGAGCAGACAGGAGCTCCGCCCGTGCGCATTATTCCCCCGTGGCACGTTAACAAACATACAGATTAAAATGCTACCTTGCGCCAGATTAGAGAAATGCCACTCTTAACCTACACAAACCCCCCACCCTTCGCCTCTCCTCTCTCTCTCTCTTCCCCCCTCTGCTACTCCCTCTCTCTCTCTCTCTCTCTCTCTCTCTCTAGTCTGGTGATTTTGATTAGGGCAAAATCAAAAGAAAGTCTCTTGCTTTTTACCAGGTTCTATTTTTTGACTTACATTTTATGTTAGTTTTGCTTGTTTTTCTAAGTTAATGCAGCTTAATCGCAATAAGACACAAAACCCATGTACCAATTTTACTAAGTTAGAATCTTTGAACTAGGGTTTCAAAATACGGGTTTTTTTAGCTAATGGCGATGAAAAGGTACATACTTGAGCATGATATGGTGTAGTAAGGGTGATTTTGCTGTAACTGGTGTTAATGTGAATAATTGTTGAAATGGGTAATGTGGAAATACCCAAATGGTTAAAAGGCTTGCCTTTAGCACCTGAGTTTAGGCCAACTGATACTGAATTTGCAGACCCAATTGCTTACATATCGAAAATTGAGAAGGAAGCTAGTGCTTTTGGGATTTGTAAGATCATACCTCCATTGCCTAAACCTTCGAAAAAATATGTTTTTAGTAACTTGAATAGATCACTTTCTAAGCGTCCAGAATTGGGTGATGATGTGGACTTGTCGAATGTTTGTTCCTCATCGAATGGTGGTTTAAGGGATGGTGGTAATGATGGGGAAAATAGGGCGGTGTTTACAACTAGGCAGCAGGAGTTAGGACAGTGTGTGAAGAAAGCAAAAGGGATGGTTAAGGAGAATCCGCCATCGGGTGTTCATAAGCAAGTTTGGCAAAGTGGGCAGGTTTATACATTGGAACAGTTTGAGTCTAAGTCTAAGGGTTTTGCAAGGAGTTTGTTGGGTATGATTAAGGAGGTTAATCCATTGGTTGTAGAGGCATTGTTTTGGAAGGCAGCTTCCGAGAAGCCTATCTATGTGGAATATGCAAATGATGTGCCTGGCTCAGGTTTTGGGGAACCGGAAGGTCACTTTCGGTATTTTCGTAGACGGAGGAGGAAGAGGGCATCATATCAGTCTTATCGTAGGAGTAGAGAGAGCCCTGTTTGCAGGAAAAATGATATGGATGGTGCAAAGAATTCCCATAGTGATGATGTTAAAGGTGTTCTCGTTAAGAATGAGCCAAGCATGTGTTTGGAGACGACACCCAGGTCATCTATGGCATCTTCAACTTCATCTGCAGAGGATAATTTGAAGTCTTCTAAGCAAAAGAGTGTAGCTGCAATTAATGATATGGAGGGTACTGCAGGTTGGAAGCTTTCAAATAGCCCTTGGAATCTGCAAGTGATTGCGCGCTCACCTGGCTCTCTTACACGTTTTATGCCAGATGATATCCCAGGTGTTACTTCTCCTATGATCTATATTGGTATGTTGTTTAGTTGGTTTGCTTGGCATGTTGAGGATCATGAACTTCACAGCATGAATTTTCTACATACCGGTTCTCCAAAGACTTGGTATGCTGTCCCTGGAGATTGTGTATTTGCTTTTGAGGAAGTTATACGCACTGAGGCTTATGGTGGCAATATTGATCGCTTAGGTATATATTGATTTCTGACATTATTTACCAATATTGATACTATTTCTCTGTCATGTCTTCCTTGAGACAATGCAGTTGCTTTTGGACAAGTCCTATTCTTATGCTTTTTATTTATTTGGTCTCTCTTTCTGCTTGGCCGTTTTATTGCCAAAACCATAGCAAAGAAATGGACTTTTAAAACAGTTGTTGTGTTGGAGATATATCCTGTCAATGATTACATCTTGCTATTTGATTCTCTTTTGCATATCTATTTGCAACCAGGGGTATTTCACTGCTAGAAACTTCCCCAGTCTGTTAGCCTGTCATTCTCTCAAATTTCTACCTATTGTTATCTAGGTCCAATGTAACTTCTCCAATGGGTGCTATGCTGCCTGATTTCCTTTTTAACGTTGGACAAAAAACAACTCTTAAGCTTAGGGTTGTGGACTTAACAATGGAAATAGATCTAACCCACAAAGAGTTATGCAAATTAAATACAATTCAAGTTGTTTATGCCAAATTGGACCTGCCAGACCTTTTAAGCTCAACCATCTAAATGTGTATCCGAATTGAGGATGAACGAGGTGTGAATCAGGTTACAAAGAATTTTTGTGATTAACCAATTTGTATTTTGCATCTGCATTTTTTCTTTTTAGAATTAAACAACCCAAAACTTGATTTATTTGTATTTTCTCAAAATTTCTAAGTTCTAGTAACTATGCTGAAAGGCATATTTCTAAGTTTGTTTTAATCTGGAATTTTTGGACGTTATTTCTTATATCTTGTTTTTGTAACTTAATTCTGGTTTCTTTTGCTAGCTGCCCTGAGTCTGCTGGGGGAGAAGACAACCCTTTTGTCTCCTGAAGCGATAATTTCCTCAGGCATTCCTTGTTGTAGGTGGGTTGTTCATCCTTCTTTCCCTTTTGTCTTTTCCTTTCCATTTTACCATTTTTGTTTTTACTTGTAGCTTTGGTCCCTCTTGTCCTGAGTGTTTTCAGGAATGGATGAGTCTTACTTTTTCCTGAAAATTTAGATTTAGAGGTGGTCTTGATCCTGGAATTTGGTGGCTCTTCGGACTGTAATTGTTGAAATTCTGATCAATGTTATTCTGGTTTTTTGCTGTAGGTTAGTACAGAATCCTGGTGAATTTGTTGTGACCTTTCCAAGGGCCTACCATGTAGGATTCAGCCACGGTATGCTCTACTGTTCCACATCTTGCAGAACTTGTGAAGAATATTATTGCTATCTCACATAGGCTAATTTGCTGACTGTACTTAATTTGACAAATGCTCCCATTTTATTAACACCTAAACTTAACCTGCCACCCACCCACACGCACGCACAAAAAAAAAAAAATGAATACAGTGACTTGGCCGAAATATTGCTTGCCTTGTTTAACCCTTCCTTCCTTGAGATCTTCTTTCTTTTCCTTAAATTCTTTTTGGTGGATTTTAATAGGTTTTAACTGTGGGGAAGCTGCCAATTTTGGAACTCCAGAATGGCTTAAAGTAGCTAAGGAAGCTGCAGTCCGCAGGGCTGCCATGAACTATCTTCCTATGCTTTCTCATCAGCAGCTTCTGTACCTGTTGACCATGTCTTTTGTTTCAAGGTCAGTGTATTATTGACTGCAGCTGTCTTGTTGTAGTTTATGAAACTTTCTCTATGAAGAATGTTTGCTCATTCTGTTGAAATAGATTTTAGACTGACGGAACATGGATAAAATGCTCATTAGGAAATTGATAATGGTTTTTTCAGTTTTTCTAATTACTTTTGTGGCACGTCCTTTTAGGGTGATCAATAGAAAACTTTGAGATCCGGGATGGTTTATTTTAATGTGTCCCGTATCATATCTCATGTTTTGCATGGTACATTTCTACAAGTTTTGTATCTACACCCTGATTTCTATATGAAATCATTTGTTTCTTCACTAGATGTACCGGGGATTGACCAACTTACCTCTTTTCGATACTTTAACTTGAATTTTTGAATACTCAGTGAATTACATTCATAAGATTTTATATATCTGGCTCAATTCCATTGAGCTTATGATCCCCATTACCACCCAAATATTTTTTTGTTGTGTGGTACTTTATATTGTTAAATTTGAATGGTTTCTGCGATGATTTCCCCTTTCTTATTTTTATAAAGTTATCATTGGCATTCTTTATTGATTATTGTTGTTGGATACCAGAGTGCCAAGATCCTTGCTGCCAGGCGCTCGGAGTTCTCGTCTTAGAGATCGTCAGAGAGAAGAAAGAGAGCTGTCTGTAAAAAAGGCTTTTCTAGAAGACATGTTAAAGGAAAATGATGTTTTGTCTGCTTTTCTTGAGAAAAATTCCACTTGTCATGTGGTGATATGGAATCCTGATTTGCTTCCTTGTGCAAGTAAAGAGTCTCAATTGCTCAACATAACTTCAAATGTTGCTACTACACCAAACGAAAATGCTGCCCATATTCATTCCGACTTAAATAGTAATAGTAGTGAGAATGATCTGTTTAAGGAGATGAGCTTGTATATGGAAACTCTCAATGACTTGTATATGGAAGATGATGATTTGTCGTGTGATTTTCAAGTTGATTCGGGGACATTAGCTTGCGTGGCTTGTGGAATCCTTGGTTTTCCATTTATGTCTGTTGTGCAACCATCTGAGAGAGCATCAATAGAACTTATGCCTGGGGATTGCCTTTTAGTTCAAGAAGAGCCGGGAGTTTCAAGAAGCAATAATGCTCAGCCCTCTTCAGACCCTGATAGCTTTGTTAAAGACTCCATTTCTGGTATTGAATTTATGTACATTATCTAACTTGATTCTTTTGTATTATTTTCTGCTGCTTCCTATCTCTCTTTATTTTTACTTTTTCACAGTTTCATTTTCATGCATTTGATAATGACTACTCATCTGATCTGGAATAGAGTACTAGTAATAATATCTTCTATATAAAACATAAAATCTTATCATCGTAAATTTACTCTTTTGTATGGCTGGGCCTCTTTGCGTGCTAAAGTTAATCAGTTTGCCCATTTTTCTTGGCTCTGCAGATGAGCATGCTCCTTTGAAGGATCTTTCCATGTCTCTGAAGGATCTTCCCGTGCCCATAGGGTGGAACACTTCTCATAAGTTTTTGAGACCTCGTATTTTCTGCCTGGAGCATGGTGTGCAAATTGAGGAGCTGTTACGGTCTAAAGGTGGAGCAAACATGCTTATAATTTGCCATTCAGGTGAGATGGGCTTCAAATTTTTGTTTAGAGTCACGTGGTAAAATGAGATTTGACTGTACACACATGCATGACATTCTGTCCTGTTTATTCTCTTTGGTATTTGCTACCTGTTTGTCAAATTGGTCAATAATTATTTTGCAAAATTTTATTTGTAGACCATCAAAAAATAAAAGCACATGCTTCTGCCATTGTGGAGGAAATTGAGAATCCTTTCAATTACAACGAGGTTCCTTTACAAGCTGCATCCGAAGGAGATCTGAACTTGATAAATCTTGCAATCGACGATGAAGATCATCATGAATGTGGAGAAGACTGGACATCAAAACTGGGTATCAACTTACGGTATTGTGTAAAAATCAGAAAGAACTCTCCATCTAAGAAAGTTCAACATGCATTAGCATTGGGTGGATTATTCTCTGACAGATGCCTCGGTTCAGATTTCTTTAACATCAAATGGCAATCTAAAAGATCTCGGTCAAGAATCAAGTCAAATCAGCCTGTCCATTGTAAACCATGCAAGATTATTGAAACAAACAAAGATGAATTGTTGGGGAATAAGTCAGATGGTCTCACTGTCAAAAAAGAAGACAAACTTATTCAATACACAAGAAGGAAGTACAAGGTAAAAATAGATTATTCCACAAATAGGCTTCAAGGATGCTCTAGAAGGTGCTTGCCAGAAGAAGTTTCAGGAGCTGTTGGTGGTGATCCTGATAAGCATACTGAACAAAATACTGTGATTTACCCTTGCAACATTGGGATTACTGGAAGGGGTTCTGCAGGATTTGGTTTTTCTGCCACTGAAGATTCTGAACTGCTGCACGAAGTCCAGGTGCTTGAAACAGCCGGTGGTTTGACCTTGAATTCTGCTCCATCACAAGTTGCAGGTTCAATTCTCACTGCTACTGTGGCTGTCAAAATTGCTGTGGGGCAGATGGAGGATCAATTGTTGGAGGAATCAGACACTTATCAGAGGAACATCTGTAACATAAAAGCCAGTGGTAGTTCAGAGATAGAGCGAGGGATAAATGTGTCAGGAGGAACCAGTGAAAAAGAGGACTTTTACACCACAAAATGCTGCAGTCCATTCGTCGCTGCAGCTAATGAAAGATTTGAAATGCAGAGAGAGGATCGAATTGTGGGAAATGTTGACATTATGAGTGAGACTCGTAATATGGTTTCTGAAGGACAACACAGGGTGCTGGATGATGACAACGCTTCAAGGAATGAGGTTTCTGATCTTGCTAATTCAGCAAGTTTAAACGTTTCTCACCCCCCATTGGACAAATGGTGGATGTAGTGTTGGATAATTCTTTCATTAGCAATGCGGTTTCTTCTCCTGTGATTTTGGATAATGAAGTGCAGAAAGAACTTGAGACTAAAAGCAGAATTAATGGTGACCAATGCTCTTCAAGTGATGACAAGCTGATGAATCAGCCTCCTACCTCACTGGACGAAAGATGTGATCATGAGCAAGAGACATTTGCTGTAGATAATAAGATGCAGCAAGAAACTGCCATCACAAATGGGAGTGATGAGGAGGAACTCGTTCTTAGTAATGTTATTAATGGACCTAATCTTGTGCCTATGGATGAAATTTCTGAATTTCATAGAGAGGCACATGCTGCAGTCAGCTTGTGCAATGGTGTGGCTTTTGAAAATGGCGAGCTGCTGGCGTTTCAGACTACAAATGATTCCATCAAGGAACTTACTTCATGTTCTGTTACGCAAATGGAAATAAATCCATCTACTGCTTCATCAGAATTCTCTAAACTTCATAGGCAGGACTCTGCTTGTAGTGGCTCAACTTTAGACACAGCTGTGCTACTAGAAATTAGAACGACAAACATGAGCACTGTGGAGGAAGTTGCCCCTAATTCTGCAACCAAAAACCAAGAACTCTCTGAAGCTTCAAGAGACATCTGTGCTATTCAAGACTCCGATGCTTGTGTGGATTTAGAACCTAAAGTAGAGCAGGAAATTCAGTCCAATGATGGTGTGACTGGAGACAGTGAAGTGCAGAAAATGCACCAGAATACAAGTTCAATTAATGAGGAAGGACCTGTTTCTACTTGTGTTATTCTGGTGAATCAGCCGACTCCTTCCCCTGTTAAAAAATGTCCTGACATTGAAGACAAATCATGTGGCGGAGAAAGTATGGTGAAATGCAATGAAGTTTGTTCATCTCAGGAGCTTGAGAGCGTTGAGTCTCCTGTGGTAGACTCCAGATCAACAGCTGGAAAGGGCAGAAAAAGAAAGAGTGAAGTGGAACAGCTAACAGAAAACAAGTTCAATAGCAATGACTTCATCAGGAGTCCATGTGAAGGATTGAGACCAAGGGCTGGGAAAGATGCGACATGTAAGAGTGAGGTTGATGTTGAAAAATCAGCTGCGGAGAATCCAGTAACAAGGAGGTTAAGGAAACCTTCTGATGTTTCAGCTCCTCGCCCAAAAAGGAAAGAAATCACAAAGAGATCTCATAAGTGTGATCTAGAAGGTTGTCGCATGAGTTTTGAGACAAAGGCAGAGTTACAGTTGCACAAGCGCAACCGATGCACATACGATGGATGTGGTAAGAAGTTCAGTTCCCACAAGTATGCAGTAGTTCATCAACGTGTCCATGAAGATGATAGACCCCTCAAGTGTCCATGGAAGGGTTGCACCATGTCATTCAAGTGGGCATGGGCTAGGATTGAGCATGTACGGGTGCACACTGGTGAGAAGCCATACCAGTGCAAGGTTGAAGGCTGTGGTCTTTCTTTCAGGTTTGTATCAGACTTTAGTCGGCACAGGAGGAAAACAGGACACTATTTGAACACACCTGCCTGAAGATTTGTTTTGTGATCAGGCTGGCTCTGTATCATATGGAAATGAGAAATTGAATTTTGAAGCCAAAGAGGCTTGCAAAGTCACGGATAAAAACTTGAATGTTGTAGCTTAGGGTTAGAGTGATCCTTTTGTAGTGGGGCATTCACAATTATTTGAATGCAGTGATAGTTGAAAACCCCTTTTACAGTTTCCATGCTTCTGGATCTTTCGAGACCTAATTCCTTTTGAATAGGACTGGTGACCGCGATGGCAACATGTATTTACATAATTGCTTTAGAGGATGTCTTTTAGAGGTGTTACGCTACATAACATTTTTAGGCCTCTCTGGTGGGTCTCCTGGTAGGTTTCCTAGAAGCATTGTTATCATGGAACAACATTATTTAAAGCCATGGGAGATATCAAGTCCTAATCTCTTATTCTCCTTTGGCAGTTCCTGTTTACTTGCTCTTTCTTGTATTCCTTCTGTTTATCCAGCGTTGATAGCCTCTCAAAACAACTTCTCTCTTGCTTGACAGTGTATGAATATCAATATTGGTATTGGCAAAGTACACACAGCAGGCCTCTATAAATTCTTGGATCAAAATTGGGGTAATTAGGTTTTTAAACTGAGCATATTCAGTTCACACAAATGTTTAGTGAACTCTAAATCTCATCCATTCTTGATCATGTTTGGTATTGAATGAATAATGGTCAAGTTTCGTGTACCGAAATTAAATCTCATCTTGGTCAGGTTTTAGACAAATTATCTTGACCTCATAGGCAATTTCTTGTGGCCGTTTTTCTTGAATTAGAAAATTAGATAAGTGAATCGTAGAGTAACTATCTAATTGCCAAATAAGCCATAGCTGAAAGCATAACAAAATCCCACAAAAATTATCTGGACTAAATTACCCTTCAGATACCATAAAATCCCCCGAAAGTCACCATAGCACCTTAAAACCCTCAAATATAAGACCCCTTTGGACCCAACGCCACACTCACAACCTTCTCATTTCTCCCATCGCTCGCCAAAACACACTCCACAGTCCCCGCCTTTCTAGAAACGCCCAATTTCCATTTCCACCAAAATGGCCGCCGCAGCCCCGCCCCCACCACCAGCCCCTGCCCCCTCCGCCCCCACAGGACTCCCAGACTCAGACTCAACACCAGTAGGCCATCCTCTTTTCTCCAGGATCCGCCTAGCAACACCACTAGACATCCCTCACATCCACAAACTCATCCACCAAATGGCCATCTATGAAAAACTAACCCACCTTTTCACCGCCACTGAATCCTCCCTTGCCTCTAACCTCTTCAAGTCTCCACCTTTTCACTCTTTCACGATCTTCCTTCTTGAAGTGTCCTCACAACCTTTTGAAAAAGACACAAACTTTCACTCTCAAAACTTCACTCCCATTGAAAAAATCATCAACCTTGATCATTCTTTAATAGACCCAGAAGCTGAAACTTTCACAAACGGGATCAACGGTGATGTTGTTGTTGCTGGGTTTGTTTTGTTTTTTCCAAATTACTCAACTTTTTTGGGGAAACCAGGGTTTTATGTGGAGGATTTGTTCGTGAGAGAGTGTTATAGGAGAAAGGGACTGGGGAAGATGTTGCTTTCTGCTGTAGCTTCACAGGCTGTGAAAATGGGGTATGGTAGAGTGGAATGGATTGTTCTTGACTGGAATGTTAATGCCATCAAGTTTTATGAGGAAATGGGTGCTAATGTTTTGCCAGAATGGAGGATTTGTAGGCTGACTGGTCCTGCTCTCGAGGCTTATCGTGATGCTCTTTGAAGTGAGTTTCTTTGTGTTTTCCTTGAAGGATTAGGGTTTGTTGGGTTCTATTGTAATTATGTCTAAGAGATCATGACTTCGAGGGTTTACGCTTTTCATGTTTCTCTCTGTTGATTGAAAAAAAGTAATCTCAAGTCTTACCCCTTTTAATTTTATATCTAAGCTGTTGTCTCTAATGAACTCAACATTGGATAAAGATTGCGACTTGTTTGGATTTTCTTGCTTCCTTTTCTTTTCGTTTCTATTTGCTGATTTGTCTGGTGGTTCTCTTATTGAACTCTATCTACAATTATAGGACATTGAAATTTCTGAGAAGGAAAATGTGATATGAAGAGTTTTATAAGTTTGTTTCTTTTCAATGTTGAAACAGTGCAAGATGGGGATAGATTAAACATTGATTAAGAATAAACCTAAGCAAAATCAAATTGGCTATTTGAGGTGGTCTGCTTCATATTGTGTAGAACTTTCTGTTTATTTCAAATAATTGGCATTTGTAGTGTGTTGCATCTTTAGTCTGCTGGTTAATTGGGATTTGGGGATGTTCAGTGATTTCAGTTAAAAATAAATAAATAAATAAATAATGTAGCAAGATTTGATTCTATCTAGTCTCCTGGGATGTCCCTAGAGCCATCTCCATCTCTCTGATACTGTTGTTAGCTTTCTCTTTCTTTAGATGATTAAGGTGGAAAGCTTAAGGAAAGGTTGACATGGTTGGGAGCTGTGAAAGGAAGGTGTTAGTTGTTCATTTTGATCATGTCTTGCTTTCTCCTGAAGGTTCTGATTTCTTTCTAGTGTCATGTGCCGTGTTGGGCATTCATAATTGAGGAGCTCAAAAGTGGTCATGACTCATGATGTCCTTCTTTTGAACATGAGATAAAGAATGACATGCCTTGTGGTTTGATTTGTGTCATGCTCTTCAGAACAGGACTTCAGAAATCCCATGGCTTTCCCTCGGTAATAGCAGAACTTCCATGTCATTAATATTGGGCTGGAAGCCCAAAGTGACATCAATTACTGGGATTTTTCAAAAAAAAAAAAAAAGGCAAATTTTCATGGACTATTCTTCACTAGCAAATTATTTTCCTTTTTGTCAAAACATAACTTAAGCTTTGCTCTTTATTTTGTGGTTTATACTCATTAGTATTTCCAACATTTAGCTTGTTTGTATTGAATATTATACATGGATTTATGCCATCAGCTGGCATGTGATATGGGGCTCGTAGTTAAAGCCCAAAAGTAGAGTGGGCTATGAGTACCAAATGCTTGCACATGAGAGGAGAGGAGAGAAAAATTTTCATGTTAAGTACCGGGTTAGAAGATGTAAGCCCAGATCAATACGAGGTACAAGGCCCGCATAATCTCTGTGTGATATGATACAAGATCCATAAATACTGTTAAGATGCTGTGGTCGTTGAGACATCTTACATCGGGTTTAATGACAAATTTTACTTTGATACTATTCTGATTTGGTGATTTCGGGTCCATTGTGATTTGAAAATTTTAGATCTATAATAACAAATCATATAATTTGAATCCAAAGCATTAGATATTGGATAAATATAATTCAAAATTGTCAATCTTTGTTATGTGTAATGATTAATCGGATTGATTGTTACTTATACATCATTTTGACATTCATCTGTTAATTATGTTAAAAAAAAAAAACCAATTTAAAAATATTTCTAACTCCTTGGTCTTAAACTTTTTTTAAATTTTTTTTCTTATTTTATAATATTTTCTAAATTATATATAAAAAATATTTTAAATATTTTAAAAATATTTGTAACCTCCTAATTTTGAACTTCTTTTTTCAAAATTTTTTTATTAAATTTTATTGTAAGAAAAATAAATAATAATATACGATTTCAGGTCTTAAAAAAGCATTTTATAAATTAAAATGAGCATAAATAAGGATTGACCTTTCCTAATTTTATAAATTATAAAAAATCCATTTTTTATAAAATGTTTATAATATTTTATATGAAAAAAGGTTCAAAATTAGGGGGTTAAAAATATTTATAAAATATTTTTTATATATAATTTAGAAAATATTTATAATATTTTATAAGAAAAAAGTTTTTTAAAAAATTCAAAGTTAGGAGGTTAAAAATATTTTTAAAATATTAAAAAATATATATAATTAATAGCGGAATGTCAAAACGATATCGTTTTGATATTCAAAGTAACGATCAACTAGATTAATCGTTACATATAACGGAGATTGAGTACTTTAGATCATATTTGTCCAATCTTTAATATTTTAAAATTCAAATTATGCGATTTAGTACTATGAGTTCGAAATATTCAAATTGTAATAGAATAGGGTAAAATTTACTATTAAACTTATTACATTGTTAGTAGTTGAAATTTGAGATTTCTAATAAAAGGTTTCAATTTTTTTTTTTCAATTTAATCAGAATTTTATAGTAGCAGATCCTTTACAAGTTTATGCTAAATAAAAACAAAATTCAATCGAATCTCATAAATAATTAATGTGCCAATCCCCCACGCCATTTTCCTTATCAAAGTCCCTATGATGGAGCCAGCTGATATCCAAAGTTCTTGACATTATAAATCAAACACTTTGAAGTTCAAACATTTTTTTTGTTGTTATTTACTATTTTCATTTTTAAGAATTTAATTACCAGATTTCACAATCGATTGAGAGTTGATACTTGAAACTTTATAGAAATTTAATAATGATCTTTGGTTATAAGTAGTATAGGAGAAGAATTTATGTACTCTTGGGACAGCCTTGTTAATTATACGACGCCCGTTGTTGGCCTTTGTTTCTTTGATTTGCCATATGCTTGAAGAACCAAGGATTTTGTGTAGTAGAAAATCGGCTCCTCTTTCTCTCTCTCGAAAAAAAAAAAAAAAAAAATCCGACAAAAACCTAATTCTTCTGTAAAGTAGTCTTTTAGCCGTGATCAGTGGTTCACACTAACGATAGCCTTTCTTCTTCTTTTTCATAACTTTAAATTATCATATTTTTATTTTATTTAGATCTAAATTTTGTATTTAGATTTATGTGGTTCTGGATTAATAGCATGAAATATCTTTATACTCTTCTGATTTTTTAAATGTGGTCTTCGTATTTTTTTTATTCATTATCTTTTTTATCTTTGGATTTTTCTTAATGTGGCTTATTTAATCGTTTTCTGATCAATTTTACAATTAAAACTGACAGTTAACATAAAAATTTCTATTTGACATCACATGTCAAATTAATTTAATACACGATAAAAATAAAAATAAAAATCTTAAAAATTATTTTCCATCACCTCTCAAAATTTTCAATCTTTCTTTTTAAAGTTTTTCAACCTTTCCTTCTTTATCAATTTTTCTTCTAGTCTGGGGGAATCTGAATGGGAATGAATGGCTTTAATGTGCCTGCAGGTGTGAAGAACAAGGAAGGAGACGAGAGCTACATGACATCAATAATAAATCATAATTCTATCAATTATTTCCTTCGTAATGCGGAAGGCAAAGCAAAAACTTGTGGGTGGTAATTCGAATTGCATTGTTCAATATAGTCATAACACAAGTGTGGGAGGAACAAGATGATCCCCAATTTCTTCAATAGTTTTCCGAACCTTCAATTGGCTTCTTATGCACATTTCGGTCCAGATGCATATCTACCCAAATTCTTGTAAATTTTTATTTGAGCTTGGTCCCGGAGTACAAGCAGAGTATTAATTTTTCTTTTTCAAGGAAATTTTAACATCCGTATGATAGCATGAATCTGTCCAGGTGTATTTGAGCTTGTTCTGGCAATTATATTATAGAAATTTTAAAAAAAAATCAAGAAATTTAGAGATTGTTGGTAAATATTGGCTGTAATTAATCTGCAGACACAACTGGAAGTCCACATCAAAAAACACCTGAAACAGACCCTTCGATTTCTACATCAACAGACAATGCATCTATTGAGACTGAAAAGAAAATGAACGACAATCAAACGGAAACAATTATCAAATTAACTGCCCCTGCATGTGGATAATTCTTCTCTCGGTGCCGGGTCAAATGGAACCGATAAAGCTGAGAGTGGAACCAATAATGCACAGAATGGAATCAATACATTAATAAAGAAGGGATCCAATAATGCAGAGAATGGAACAAACACTGGGAGAAGGCTTCTCGAAGATGAAAATTCAAGGGGTTCGCTGGATGGTGGCTCAAAATTTAAAGAGAATGACCACATGAAAATGTTCATGTATATAACTAGCAACTGTTGAAAATTATGAAAGGTTAGAAGCAGATGCTGATTCTTCTTTCGAGTTATTCCGTGATAGTGATGAATTAGCCGACGAGTACATTTATGACTACGATGATGACGTTTCCATGTGAGGAGATGAAGAATGGCCAGAAGAGAAACATGAGCAACTATAGGATTATGTGAATATTGACCCACATATCTCGTGCACGCCTAGGAGAAAGCTTCTCGAAGATGAGTACAATTCCAAAGGTTCCCAGATTAAAAGAAATTATTGAGGAAGGAAAGATAGGAAAATTTAAAGAAAATGATCGGAAAATTTTAGATGTTATCGATGGTAGTTTTATGATTTTTTCAATTTTATTATTATTATTTTTTTTCATGTAACAAATTACTTTAACGTGTCATGTTATCTAAAATTTTTTACATCAATGGTCAGTTTTGATCCAAAAATTAGCTGAAAAATAATTAGAGAGACCATGTTAAGAAAAATTCAAGAAAAGAAAAAAACTATGAAAAAAAATAATACAAGAACTATATTAACAAAATTAAAAAATAATTCATGCTATTAATCTCTTGCGGACTCTTTGTTGTTCTCATTTGTCCATACCCTTTTTCTTTTTGAGTAAAGATCTAGTGGTTGTTTTTAAGTAATTAAATGAAGAAAATTAATATTTATCGGCAGTTTTGAATTTTTTATCAATACTGTAGCTCATTCTCAGACAAATTTATAATAACTCAAACTCGTCTGAATAATTTATAAATACAATAAATTCCTACATAGACAACTTAGATTTAATAATTTCAAAAAAAAATTATTGTCTAAATCATTAAAAAGAACATGTTGTTATTTGAAAGATTATATTAGAATGTTTTTATCTTTTTAAATAGTTAATTATCTTTTCACATAGCAAGTATAATGAAATTGTTGTTTTCATTCTTAACAAAAAAAAAAAAAAAAAAAGGGATTTAGACAAAAGAATATTTCATCGCTAAAAAAAAAAAACTTTTCATTGATAATGAGCTCCCCAAAATGCAAATGCCACGAGGCCAACAACAATCACCGTAAGCTCTTGCGCACAAAAAACAAAAATATTTTTTCACCAGCCCAAATGAGGTCCCCCATCTCGGACATTCAATTTCACCTCAATAATACTAATGCAGATTACGCTAAGTGGACCCCAAAAAGAGAGAGGACTTTTTTTCTTTTTTTTTTTTCAGAGCATTTTTTTCATTATTATTAGTGGGGAAAAAAAAAGCATCTAGTAATTAGCATCACCGTAAGCCTCAAGAGCATCACCAGTCAACCTGCAAACCCTCCACTCACTCAAAACCTTAGCACCCATCTCCTCATAAAACTTGATAGCATTCACATTCCACTCCAACACTGACCACTCCACTCTCTTAAACCCCATCTTCACCGCCTGCTCCGCCACCGCCGACAACAACATCCTCCCAAAACCTTTCCTTCTGTAACATTTCCTAACCAGCAAATCCTCCACATGAAACCCTGGCTTCCCGGAAAACGAAGTGTAACTTGGCACAAACAACACAAACCCTGCCACAGTAACATTATCATCATCTTCATCAGCAATACCACTCTTGAATGTTTCTGCATCTGGGTCAGTGGCTACACGATCAAGAAGGATGGTCCGGTCAACGGGCAGGAAAGCTGGAGAGTGAATGTTCTTGAAGGGGTTGGAGGAAACCTCAAGGATAAAGATGGTGAAGGAATGGAAAGGAGGGGAGTTAAAAAGAGTGGAAGCAAGAGAGGATTCAGTGGCAGTGAAGAGATGAGTTTCGTTTTGAAAGACAGCCATTTGATAAATGAGTTTGTGGATATGAGGTACGTCTTTTGGTGTTGCTAGGCGAATGCGAGTGTAGAGTGGGTATTGACCCACTGGGATAGTGGTGGCGGTTGCGGCTAGAGCTGCTGGTGCTGTGGCTTCCATTGCTTTGGCTTTGGTTTTTTGTAATTGAGGGTTTTTGGACAAGATATGGGGTTTCAGAGAAGTAGATGGAGTACTCAAAGAAAATGAAGAGTGGTGTGTAGAAAGGCAAGGGGTTGTGGAGGTTTTATAGGGAATTCCAGAGAAGATCATCTCTCTCTCTCTTTTTTTTTTTTTTTGGTTTCTCGATAACAAAATTTCTTCAATTCTATCTTTGTTGTCTTTGTTTCCCTTGCAACTTCAATATTGCTCAACATACAATTATTATACATAGGCAACTTCTTGCGCTCTTGACAATGTGATAATGCAATTCAAAGGTGGCTCTATGAAAATGATATGAATTATTGTTCTATCATGCAGAAGAAATTCAATGGTGGAAATTAAATTGCCTTTTTGTAAAATTGGAAGAATATTCTCAGCATTGTTTTATAGAGACTTCCAGAGAAGATCTTTTTTTTTTTTTTGGTTTCTCAAAAACAAAATTTCCTCAGTTCTATCTTTGTTGTCTATGTTTCCCTAGCAACTTCATTGTCCAACATACAATTATTATATATAGGCAACTTCGTGGCACTTGACAATGTGTGATAAGCCATTCAAAGGTGGCTCTATGAAAATGATATAAATTATTAATGTTTTATCATCTGGAATAAATTCAATAGCGGAAAGTAAATTGCTTTTTGTAAAGTTGGAAGAATTATTCTCAGCATTATTCATCTGTTCAATTTGTTAGAGAAGTATGATCCATTTTTAACCCTTCAAAGTTCAATTCAATTTGTCTTGGTCTTAATTTCCCTTGATTTATTGACACTTGCATTCCAATACGTACACTCTTAGGCATTTTCTACCTATATAATTAATCTAATATATCTCTCATCATAAATTATTATTATTTTGAGTGAATATATACATGCTTAACTATGAGGCGCTACAAGTTGCATCTCAATTATCAATAAGCAAGCTGCCAAAGCAGCCCCAAGGTGACCGACTTTGTCCTTCTATAATACTTAATCAACAGTCCTCTCGACGGTGCTCTAGCACATTTTGATGAGCAAGAGCTCCCCTCGTTATCAAATTAAAAAGAAAAAAGAAAAAAAAATTCTTGCACAATCTAACCAACATATCTTACAGATCCATAATATATATGGATATGTAAGCTGTGCGACCGATATTCCAAATCATTAAAAGGTCTTTTAATGTGCTACAAGTTACATTTCAACAGATGACATTTGCAAATTGTGCAGACTTCTTCTTGCACTTCCTCTTCCTCCTATATCATTTTTTTAAAGGGAAAAAAAAAAAAAAGAGCAAAATCTCATCAGACAGAGTACTGTATTATAACACGGAGCCAAAAATTAATTATAAAAATGGCTTTAAATAAGATATTGATAAAATGTTCGTCTTTTTTATTATATCAATTTGAAAGCTTAGAATGCGTCATTAGATTCATCCTCAACTTTATATATTACTTTGTTGTTGGAATAGGTTCTTTAATATTAATGAGTAAATTATGAATTAGAGCTTTTTGTTTTGATAAATGAGTTAATTAGTCATTTTGTTTCAAAAATTAATTATTTAATTTATGTATTTTTAAATCTACTTGTAACTTAATCTTTTTTTTACTCATTTTCAATTTATTTTGATTTTTTATTTTAAAAAATAAAAAAGAAAAAATATATGAAAAAATATTAAAAAAATATTTTATAAAGTAGAAATAATATTAAATTAAATATGATCAACACTAATAAAAAAATTAAATAATAATTTTTGAAACAAGAAAGATTAATTAATCGTTTCTTGAATCTAGATTGACTAATTTATATATATAATTTACTCATCTTACATAGAAAATACTGCATTATTAACAAGCGTCCAAAAATTAACTATAATAACCATAGCCTTTCAAAAAAAAAACAGGATGAACTACCTCGTAATGTATCTTATTCTATGGCATCCAGCCTGGAATGTATGGACAATGTACCTACCTCGTAATTCTTAAAAAAAAGATGAACTTCTAGTAGTTAAGCATTAATTAAGCAAAGCCCAAGTTCAATAATGTATGTATATGTCTCTATTCATTGCATCTGCTTAAACGCTACTCTCAGCATTCGAATCTTTGAACGACTCGATCTGGATGCCATCAAATCATGTGTGTTTTCTTTTCGTTGCATATGTAAAATCGCATCAATCAATCCCTCTACTTCCGGTTAAAGATAATTTAAGAAAACCTAAAGGTAATTTGATAACTTTCGTTCGATTACTTTGTAAAATGTGACAGTCATGGGAATGTCTGTTTAAAGTGGCGTGGAATGCGAAGCTTCGTGTATAGAATATGAAAGCACCACCAAAAATTGTAAATAAAGTGATAAAAAAAGGGTTTTTAATTTATTAAGTCAGGAATTTAATTCTTATTTTTTGAACGTTCTTCATCGTCTTTTTTTGTTATTGGATAATAAATAAAAAATTAGACATAATTTTTTTATTATATTATACACATTCAAAACTCTTAACAGAATTGAGATTTAAATATATAATATCTTACATATATGTAAGAGATCACTATTAATGAGCTAGAAGCTCATTAATTAGTAAATTAGACTTAATTCAATAAATAATAAATTTTTCTTTATACAATACACATATTTAAAATTTAAATTCTTAATAGAACTAGAATTTGAACTTGTGATCTCTTATATATAAGCAAGATATCACTATTAATGAGCTAGAAATTTGTTGATAAATTAGACATAATTCAGTGTTGACTGAATTCAAAACATAATAATAAACTTAATATATATATATATATATATATATATATATATATATAGGAGTAACGTAATATGAGATTAACGATAATAATGGCATTTTTCCAATCAAGTTGTTGCAGTAGTTTGTAAGTTGTAAAGGTAGATTGTAGACATAAGTCTAGAATTTTGGAAGTTATCAAAGCCAATGTCCTCTAATTTATTTTTGATCTTTTTTTTTTTTTTTTTTGGCACTTGTTATAGTATGTGTAAGAAGGTGGTCGAATTTTCCCATTCTTTGCCGTGATATAAAACTGATACAACTAATTGTTTTTGGAATTAATTTCCCTTGATTTACTGACACTTGCATTCAACTACACTTTTAGGCATTTTCTACCCAATCTAATCTATCTCTCATCATAATTTGTTTTTTTTTTTTTTTTTTTTGGAGGGAATATGCTTATAATGTGCTACAAGTTGCATCTCAACCGTCATCCATTTAAAAGATAGCAAGTTGTCTGGCCCTTTTTTCGGACAAACCAATAATTTCATGGGTCTTGTGAAGGAGAGTTCGGTTCCTTTGAGTGGATCCGTCAGTCCTTTAATTCCTCTTCCGTTTTTCCGCATAAGGTTCCAAAGTTGTAGGCCTAAAACGACATGCTGCTCACATCATGAACATGGTGTGGGTCGAAGGATAAAGAAAAATGGGATCAATCAAGCTGCCAAAGCAGGCCCAAAGTAACCGATTTTGTCCTGCTTCGCCTAGTTGTTATAAATTGTGTTCATTTTCCCTTGTATAATACTTAATCAACAGCCCTCTTGATAATAATAATAATAATAATCAACGGTAAAAAGAAAAAAGAAAAAAAATCTTGCACAATCTAACTAATTTACCTTACAGTGAGAATCTGTTTATTTAATTTACTTGATTTCAATTTTCAATTAATAGGTTGAAGTTTTGGCATACCAATTTGGTTTGGTAATGATCTTTTTCTTTTCTTTTATGAGCATTTAGACTTTTTAGGATTAAAAATTACAAATTGCTAGTGAAAAGCATGATTGGATATCAATAATATTTCATAGGGGCGTGTGTATGGAAACGTAAGTTGTGTGACCAATTTTCCAAATTATCAAAACGCCTTTTAATGTGCTGCAAGTTGCATTTCAACAGATGACCTTTGCAAGCTGTGCAGACCTCATCTTTCCTCTGCTTCCTCCCTCTCCTCCTCTTTTTTTTTCCTAAAGCAAAATCACATCAACTTTGAGTAAATTATAAATTAGTCTCTCTTGTTTTAAAAAAAAACAAATTAATTAATCTTTTTTTTTATATATAAAAAAAAACTAATCATTTAATTTGAATATTTTAATTTTGTTAATAACTTAGTCATTTCATTAATTTTTTTATTAAATTATCGATTTTTTTTTCAAATTATTTTTTCTTTAATGTCTTATTTATCTTCTTCAGCCACTCTTTTTTTGTCTCAAAAAAAGAAAAAAGGCAATTTAGAAACAAAAACCACTAATCTAATAAAAAACTGAAAAAAAAAACTAAATTATTGACGAAATTAAAATATCAAGAACTCAACCATTAGTTTTTAAAAGGAATGAAACTAATTAATTCATATCTCTAAACAAATGCAACTAACTTATAATCTACTCCATCAAATAAGTAGAAGATAATACTCATTATCACAAATATAACTATAAATGAATGAGATTTTAATTCGAATTCAACTCGAATCCATTGTCATTAAATGAATCTAGTATACAAATTTATTTTTTTTGTCCGAGTCCAATTATGATTCGAATTTGTTAACCCATTTATTAAATGGATTAAATCTTTATCTGTCTTGATTCGATCCGATACTAATATGATTCGAAATTAAAAATAATATTTTTATAATAAATATAATATTTTTTAAAATAGTAAAATTTTAAATATGAAAAAAATATATAAATAGATTTTTTTAAAGCTAACATTATTAATTATTTTGTAAATAAATATACATAGATTAAATATATATATTTTTTAAAAAATAATTTTTTCACCAAGCATTAAATAAAATATTTTTATACAAGAATAAATCATGTATCTTTGAGTAGAAAATTTATAAAAAACATAAAAAAAATTAAATTTAGTTAAAAAATTTTAATGAAAAATTATTAAATTTTGAAATAATCTTGTTCAGTTCAATATGCAATAGAGCTAGTATGGTACTGTATATTTATTAGCTCCATAAAAGAAACAAGGATTTGGGTTTAGTTGTTGGTTTCAAACTTTAGACAGGCTTCAATTGTAAATGGGCTTTCCACCGTCCATGTGTTCCTCTCAGCCCTTAATTAGAACTTTTCAAAGAAAGGTTTCTTCCATTTTATCTTTTCAAGCAATCAATGTTCAAGTTTTTATTTTCTTTTAGTGTCCTAACGTATTGAAAATAAACTGTAATAATTTAAAAAATATCACGTGGTAATAAAAATATATTATGAAATATTTTATTATAAAAACATCAACATTTTATATTTTCAAATAAATGTGAACATTCAAATAAAAAAATTCAAAACTTGGCTATAGAAATAGAAAAATTTACTGGTTGAATCCTAAGAAAATAAAAAATATTAAATAATAAAATTGTAGTTTTCTCTGTTCCGATTGCGGTCGCTGAAGCATGTTCCTTGTAGGTCAGCAATGACATTCTTATCTTGACATAAAGCATTATGAATTTCAGTCAAAATAAAATACACTTATCAAAAAATTATTATAACATTATGTAGTTGCAACATTTGCAGGGTTTTTCTTTCTTTTTCTTTTTAATTGTTCTTCACTTCTGTCGAGACATGTATCTAATTATATATAGCATATTATTCTAGTTAGCTCAGGGATTAAGTCACTTATATATATATTAAGCACCCAAGAATGGCGGCTAGGATATGCACACAAGCTAGAAAATGAACTTTAAAAATGTTATTATTTAATTTATTTTAAATCAAGGATAAAGGATCTGGTTGAAATTTCTGGAAGATACCAAATATCATGCAACATTTTAAAGATAATACGAGGGATTGATCATCATAATATAATTCCACAAAACAAAGGAAAAATGAATTTGACTTACAAAACCCCACCTAGGGCGACTTCACCAAGAGTTACAAACGTGCACTCGAGGAAGCCCTTTTTTTTCATGGCTAAAATTACTTTTGGTCCCTCCTCTTTTTAATCTAATTAGATAGAAACCCTTACTTTAAATTGGCCAATTAACTCCTTAATTTCCAATAAAAAGTGATTTCACCCGATGAATTCCACGTGCTATGAATAAGTGGACTAAGGATCTCTAATTGCCTGTAATTTAAAATAGAGAAGTTGATTAGGATTTAGGTCCACAGTAAGGACCAGGATGTCACATGATCAAATTTAAAAAATGGAAGGACCGCACACGATTTTTAGTAACTTTTTTCACATGTTCTAAAACCAGAGGAACTAGTTAGAAACTAATTTCTCTGTTTCTTTTTCTTTCTTCCAAGTTATCTGTGGACTACTAGGACAGGGAACTAACCGGAAACGTCCAAAAAAAAAAAAAAAAAACAACCAACGATCCCAGAATCCCAGATCTCTTGAACTTACGAACTTATCTTGTCTGCCCTACAATCAAAAAAACAAAACTTTATAGTTCCACCAGTCTGTTTCAACTATTTGTGTCCTTCCATTTGTTTCCTCATGTGCAAATCAAAAAAGAGCACCAACATCATAAACTCTACAGCTCCAAAATCCAAGGATTCCAAATTCTTAAAATCATCAACAACAACATCATCATCAACTTCATCTTTTGTCAACCAATCATCATCTTACGACTACCCATCAACAAATTACTCTCCAAACCACTCAGCGAGATCGAAGTCCTGGTCTTTTTCAAGCAAAACATCTCTTTCTAACCTTAAAGATTCATTACCAGAAAACCCTCACATTTATGACTTCTCCGAAATCCGCAAAGCTACCAACAACTTTTTGCAAAAACCCTTTTCCTCTTCCTCTTCATCAACCTCTTGGAGATGCTCAATTCGTGGAAAAGAAGTTATTCTTTTTCAACGCAAGTTTCGCCGTCAGATTGGATTAGATGAGCTTCAACAGCGGTTATTGACCATTTGCAGGAGTCATCACATCAGTTTGGTCAAACTTCTCGGTGCATCCACTTCAGGGAATTATATTTATCTTATTTATGAATATGTTCACGGTGCAAATTTAGCTACTTGTCTTAGAAATCCACAGAATCCCAGTTACACAGTTTTATCATCTTGGTTATCACGTATGCAGATTGCCACTGATATAGCGAACGGTCTTGATTATATTCACAATTGTTTAGGTTTGGATTCAGAATTTGTGCATAATCACATAAAAAGTTCTAGTATTTTAGTGACTGACGATTCTTTAAATGCCAAGATTTGTCATTTTGGGACTGCTGAATTGTGTGGAGAGATAGTGGGGAACGAAAGGTCTTCGTTGAAAGATTTTGGTAGGTCAGGTAGTAGGAAAATGAAAATTGAGGGAACAAGAGGGTATATGGCACCTGAGTTTCAGGCAAGTGGAGTTAAGACACAAAAATGTGATGTGTATGCATTTGGGGTGGTGATTTTGGAGTTGGTGTCTGGGGAGGAGGCATTGAGGTATGTCTTTGATGAGGGAGGTGGAGGTTACAAGAGAATTAGCGTGATTGAGAGGGCAAGGGAGGTGGTGGCCGTTGGTGGTGGTGAGTTGAGGAAGTGGGTTGATAAGAGGGTGAAGGATTCGTATCCTGTGGAAGTAGCAGAGAAGACGGTGTTGTTGGGATTGGAGTGTGCGGATGATGATCCAGGGAAGCGGCCCGATATGGGGATGGTTGATGCTAGATTGTCTAAATTGTATTTGGAGTCAAAGAATTGGGCTGAAAAGATTGGTTTGCCTACTGATTTCTCAGTCTCAATGGCGCCTCGATGACAATGACTAATGAGAAATGAAAGATCAATTGGTGATTTAAGTTTTGTTGTTGATCGTGCTTGTGCATATAGGATTTGAGTTTGAGTTTTCTTTGGACTGCAAATTTTACACATTCTTTCAGGAGAAATTGATAAAATTTGTTGATTTTTGTATAGATGTTGATAGATATAAACAAGAGAGATTTCTGCATTGATATGCTTTGCTATTTTTTTTTTTCCCGTCATTACAATATCTGTAGTAAATGGTTCCTTCACTGAGATCAGCAGGCTAAAAATGCCATCTTGAGTTCGAAAAACATGTTTATTTGTTGTTGCCAGTACATATTCTTGCATCCAACGTCAATGCTACTGGAAAATCTTCTTCGTTTCAGCTTAAGCTTTAGAACATGTTTGTTGCATTAGCGGATTCCGGTGCCATGAAGGAGTAAAACGTTTGCCGATTTGCTCGATAACCTTGCTATGAAAAGATCAAAGCAGCAGTGGTAAGGAGCAACATAGAGGATCAGTATTGGTTGAACTTCTCTTAGTTGCAGAGTTAATCTTTGGCTTTGTTTCATGAAGTTACCATTCATTTGGTCTGAGCTGAGCAGAGCAGCATCATGATATTCATGTTGAGGAGAGCTAAATGCTCCTCCCTCTGCCGAGACTAGAAATCGCAGCCTTTGTTTCATCTTGGGTAGATGGTAGCTGCCAGCCAGAGATAAAAATCAGGAATGGTCCCTCTGTTTTTTATATTTATTAAATCAAATCATTTATTTTAAGCTGAATAAAAAATACCATAATAATTTTTTATTTTTATAACATTATTTGTAAATTTAGTTTGTGGTAATAATATAAATTTTTTTATCCCACTAAGTACTAATTATTAATAATAACCTTATAAAATCTAACAACTGATGTGGAGAGAAAGATCTTATCATTATCATTATTTTTTAACTATTTTACTTCTAATTAAAAGTCTATAAGTGATTTCGGCGTTCTTATTCACCTATTTTTGGCTAAATCGATTCCACATGTAATGAAATAATTGGATGAAGGATTTTTTCAAAAAATTTTATTATAAATTCAATGAAATTTGGTTGTTGTATTAGGAGTTCATTTAAGTAATAAGAACTAGAACCATTAACAAATTACCAAATTTTTTTTTTTAATGTTATTATAAATTCAACCTCGTTGTTGTATTTGGAATCCATATAATGGAGCATGGCATCTCTATATTTAGTAATTTATATAAACTTAATAAAAAATTTAAAATCATTCAAGATATATATATATTTTTTATGTAATAGAAATCCATGAAAATGAGAATTGAACTCGAAATCTCACCACATTTTCTTTTAGAGAAGCACTGAAATATAAGTTCATTGGTCATTCAAATTATTTTAATGGATCGAAATAATAGTAATTCTATTTTCTAATTAATTTAAACCAATTTGTATGCAAATTTTTTTTATATGCAACACTCATATTACCAAACACAACCCATTTCCTCTACTTTCCTATTTCTTGACCCATGGTCCAAATAGCTTTTTGATGGACAATTCTTGGATAAATGCTGACTAAGATAACATTGATGGAAATGGTATCAAAGAATTTAAAACCTCTTTAGAATATGATTTGATATATGATCAGGCAGCATCTTAAAAAAAAAAAAAAAATCCAGATAATTGATTTCAACTAATTTAGAGCTGAGACTTAAGACTTGTTGGGGTTTAATTACATCATAAGCAGAAAAAATTGTTCGGAAAGGTCTTTTTCAAAGGCGTTTCCATGCCATCCAGTAGTACTTGTCGGATCACCATGTAGTTCAGGTCTTGTCACGGGGTTACCGTCCCACGGACAGGTTATCAGACCAAATTGTCAAAACGTTTCTAACCTGCATAGCAATTATATTAATTTGTTTTTGAGATAGGCTTCCTAGAAACAGAAGACTTTGAGGCTGCTATATGGATCAAACAATTGTTTTTAATTTCTTGTCTATGAGATCACCAGATTATAACGTTGTATTTTTAATTTTAAATGCTCAAAGGAGAAAGATCTGGATCGGTATTTTTTTTTTTTTGCAAGGACAAACAACTCACAATCAGTAGAATAAAAACCATTTGATAATTTGATGATAATATCAGTTTCACATTAATATTATTAGTTTCTCTCAATATAAAATATTACAAATTTATGATACAGTCATCTGAAAAAATACAACATAAATTAGTTTCTTTAGTACAGAGAAATAAATTAATTAATCCCTCTTGTTTTACAACTTAATTATTTAATTATTTAAATTTTCTTATAATTTAATTTTTTCTGATCTATTTTAATTTAAAAAATAAGTAAAAAAATATGAAAAGATTGAAGAGAAAATATAATTTTTTTTCTAAATAAAATCATATTAAATTAAATATAGTCAATACTAGTTAAGAAACTAAATGATTAGTTTTTAAAATAAGAAAGATTAATTTATTTATTCCTTGAAAATAAAAGGACTAATTTATAATTTACTCCATCATTTGCAGGGTGGTTCCTTAATCGTTTTTGTGTCAATGCATATCTTCCTTGACGTGTTTTGGCCTGTGTAATTTCAGGTACATCATCACCTGCATTATATTACGGGAAAAGTCAAATAGAGTAGTTAAAAAAATATTTATTATTTACTTTGTTTTTTTGATAAATGTCGAACTTGCATTCAAAAGATTTCTTCCAATTTATTAAATCAATATGAAAAGTATATTTTTAAAATCTTTTAAGAAAAAATTTAATCTTAATTAATGTATAAACGGATAAAAATTTATCATCATTAAAAAAAAAACCAACATTTTTTAGGTTAGGGCCAATTGAGGCAGCTCCACTCGTAGCAAGTCCTGATACCATCGATTTTGTCAATTTCTTAACCCCAACCTTTCTAACATTGGATAAAGGATTTCGTCGAATGTGATTTCTAGGAACATTTTCCGGCTGTCAAAGATAAAGGGCAGACCGTCCTGATTTTATTCACAAATCACTTAGCCCAGTGGTTGGATAGGGCCTTAATCATTTTCTTGTAATCCAGAATAAATTAGTTGGTATAGAGAAAATTTAAAATTTCTCCTTATGTAAAGTGCAAAAACTAATAAATGGACTTCAAAAAATAATTATTAATATTTTATTTGAAATCAGGAAAAAAAATTAGGAATTGATTGAAATTCCAAGCAGATAGCCAAATGTTATGCAACATTTTAAAGATAAATCTGAGTGATTGATCATAATGTGATCCCACATTCATCAAAATGAAAGAGAAAAGAAAAGAAATAAATAAATAAATAAGTCCACGAAGAAAAATTGACTCAGCTTCCCCCACTTAAGAAGACTTGGACCAAGTCTACCCAAGATCCTTTGCATGGCTAAAAATCAAGGCTTTATTTGAAATTGAATTCTTATTTTTATAATAATAATAAATTAATTATTTATGATAATACGGTTATTGTTATTTCGTCCATTACTAACTACTAATGATAATCTTACAACGTCTACAAATTGACCGTAAAATTTTATAATTTATTTTAACTTTTTTACTTTTAATTAAAAGTCTATATGTGATTTCAACCTTTTTATTCAATTATTTTTAGCTGGATCAAATCTGATGTCTGATGGAATAGTTGGATGAAGGATTGATTTAGCTAGATTAAAATAGCGGAGTTGATTTGAGCCAATTTGGATTAAACTACAAGATATAATTTGACTAATTATGCATAATAGAAATCCACGAATGATTTTTATTTTATTCTTTCTTCCAAACTATTATATAAAAGTACAAAACAAAAGAAAGCCTTGGTTGGACAAGGACCCAACTGGAAACTTCCAAAAACAATCGGCCATACCAGATTCCCAATTTTTCTTGAAATTGACAAACTGATCTTTGCTTCTCCCTCCTTCTCTTGTTGCCACAATCAAAAACCAAAATTTTTATTCTCGTTTGTTTTAACTGTTTGTCTTCCCCCATGTGCAAATCAAAAAAGAACACGAACACAATCAACTCTTTAACCCCAAAATCCAAGAGTTCCAATTCCTTAAAATCATCGACGACGACGACAACATCAATTTTATCTTCATCTTTTGTCAACCCAACATCATCTTCTAACAATTATCCATCAACAAATTACACTCCAAACTACTCAGCAACATCAAAGTCTTCGTCTTTTACAAGCAAAACATCTCTTTCTAACTTTAAGGGTTCATTACCAGAAAACCCTCACATTTATGACTTCTCTGAAATCTGTAAAGCTACGAACAACTTTTTAAAGAAACCCTTTTCTTCTTCCTCTTCATCAACCTCTTGGAGATGCTCCATTCGTGGAAAAGAAGTGATTCTTTTTCAACGCAAGTTTTTCCGTCAGATTGGATTACCTGAGCTTCAACAGATGTTGTTGACCATTTGCAGGAGTCATCACAGTACCTTGATTAAGCTTCTCGGTGCATCCACTTCAGGGAGTAATATTTATCTTGTTTATGAATATTTTCGTGGTGTAAATTTAGCTACTTGTCTTAGAAACCCACAGAATCCCAGTTACACAGTTTTATCATCTTGGTTATCACGTATGCAGATTGCTACTGATATAGCTCATGGTCTGGATTATATTCACCATTGTTCAGGATTGAGTTCAGAATTTGTGCATTATCATGTAAGAAGTTCTAGTATTTTAGTGACTGAAGATTCTTTAAATGCCAAGATTTGTCATTTTGGGTCTGCTGCACTGCGTGGAGAGATAGTGGGGAATGAAAGGTCTTCGTCGAAAAACTTTGGGAGGTCGGACAGTATGGTAATGAAAATTGAGGGAACACCAGGGTATATGGCACCTGAGTTTCAAGCAAATGGAGTTTTGACACAGAAATGTGATGTGTATGCATTTGGGGTGGTCATTTTGGAGTTGGTGTCTGGGGAGGAAGCGTTGCGGTACGTGTTTGATAAGGGGGCTGTTGGTCATAAGAGAATTAGTGTGATTGAGAGGGCCAGGGAGGTGGTGGCTGTTGGTGGAGGTGAGTTGAGGAAGTGGGTTGATAAGAGGTTGAAGGATTCGTATCCGGTGGAAGTAGCAGAGAAGATGGTGTTGTTGGGATTGGAGTGTGTGGATGATGATCCAGAGAAGCGGCCGGATATGGGACTGGTTGATGGTAGAGTCTCTAAATTGTATTTGAAGTCAAAGAATTGGGCTGAAAAGATTGGTTTGCCTACTGAATTCTCAGTCTCAATGGCTCCTCGATGACAATGGTTAATAAGACATGATTGATCAATCTGTAAGTTTAGTCGTGTTGATGACAACTTGTACAGATAGGATTTGAGAATTTAAGTATTGAGTTTTTCTTTGGACTTCAGATTTATACAGTCATTCTTTTATAATCATGTTGATAATATATATTAACAAGCAACATTTCTGCATTGATATGTTTTTCAGGGCAGCAGGCAAAAAATGCCATCTTGATTGCAAACAAAAAACATGTTTGTTTGTTGCTGTCAATACATATTCTTGCATCCAACTTCAATGCTACTGGATAATCAACTCTGCTATCAGCTTATGCATTAGAACATGCTAGCGGATTCTTGTAACATGGAGGAGTAGAACGATTGCAGTAGGTAAAATATTTGCCTATTTTTTCGATAACCTTGCTGCAGATGAAGAGATCACAGCAACAGTGACAAGGAGGAGGAAGATAGAGGATCACTATTGGTTGAACTTTTCTTGGTTGCAAGGTTAGGCTTTGCCTCAGTTTCATTCAGGTTACCATTCATTTGAGCTGAACTGAGCAGAGCAGCATCGTGATATTCATGTAAAGATCAAATAAATGTTCATATTTAGAGGCTAAAAGTTGCAGCCTTCACAAGGAATTTTGTTTCTCTTTGAGGAGAGAAATAATTTTTGAAATGTTCATATTGTTTGTCATCTAAAAAATTAAGAATTCCATCTCTTCCTACCAGTGCACCTGGTGCGTTAAACTGTCTTGACCACAGGGGATGGAGGAAGTTCATGAAAACGATTGATTTATTGATCATGGTTGCATTCTGAGTGTTTCACGTGGCAAGAATCTTGGAAAATCTTTGGTTTGTGTTTTTTAAAATGGCTCGGATAAATTACTATTAATGATGATCTTGACACATTAATAAATTAGTGGTATCGTTACTGGTTGGTTGATAAACTGCTTCGTACCAAAATCATCACAGGACATGGAAAATTAAGAGAAAATTATAAATTACTCCTGTTAATTTTGAAAAATGAATAGATTAGTCTTATTTCAAAAATTAATTATTTAGTCTCTGTGTTTTAAATTTTCCTGTAAATTAATTTTTTTATTTTTTGTTTTTTAAAATTATGAAAGAATAAATGAGAGAAAAAAATGTCATTGTTTACAATAAATTAGTATGAAATTAAAAGAGATCAACACTATTTATGAAATTAAATAATGATTTTTTGAAATTAGTGGACTAATTAATTGTTTTTTGAAAATAACCGAACAAACTGATAATTTGCTGTGAAAATTAATGAAGATAAATGATATATATTTTTGTTTTCTGGCAATAAAATAAACTGATAATGGGCCTGATTCTACATGGGTTTTACAAGATTTGGGCCTTAATTCAAATTTGGCCTCTAAAAGTTGTATAATGTTAAAAAGCCAGAATAAATAAGCTCAAAAATCCTGCCGAATTTGTTCCAAGATTAGCCTCTAATCTTTCTGATTTTATTTTCCTTAAACCATTCCGTGGCTTTAGTCGTTTTTCTTTTTTAAGTCCTAAAATATTATTAGGTGAGTTAGGTTGGGTTGATCAGATATTGACTCATATAAATTATGCTAAATCCAGCACAAAATTATATTTCCACCCTTGTGCGTGTCTAAAAATGTTTTTCATTTAATCTTCCCAGGTTCAAACCGTAAATGATAATGTGGAATTCTAATGAAATTCATGGGACAAATTTATAAAAATCAAATACACTATCTCGAAAGCTCAAAGCTCAAACTTACAGTTCAATTTTATAAAAAAGTTAAATGATTCAATTTTTTTTGAACTTTAAGTTATTTAAAAATTAATTCTTTAATGTTAAATTTCGAATTGATCCCTTTTTAATTATTTTTTCTTTTGAAATTAGATTTTTATATTAGATTTTTATTCATTCTAATGGTAGAAGCACGTATTATTGGCATGTGGTTGATTTTTAACCTTTGTAACATGTAAAAACATACTAAAACTTATAAATGTTTTACCTTTCTCTCCAAAACATATTTGTTTCATTTAAAAAAAAATAATTATTTGTTTATTCTTCAGCATTTAAGAGGGAAGAAACAAGTTTTAAAAGTAAAATAAAATATTTTTAACTTGTGATAAACTATACTTACATGTTAAAATTAATAAAAACCTAATAGAATGATTTAATTTCAAATGAAAAATAAGCAAATGAATTTTAAATCCAAAATACCTAATTTTAAATAAAAAATTTAATTCGAAATTAAAAATAAATTAATTATAAAACAACTTAAAGTTTACGAGAAGTTTTTACCGTTTTACCTTATAAAAATTATCCTTTCTTTCTACTAATTAAACCACCACAAAAACTTTGGGCGAAGTTCGGAAAACACCTTCTTTTTAACGAACTCGTGTGTGCTACCATTCTCCATCTTGTAATATAAGAAGAAAAAGAGAGCAGCGAGCTTGGGCAATAATCTTTCATGGCGGCAGCTAGAAACACGTTGCAGCTGAGGCGATTACTCTCTGTTCTTGCCCATAATAATCAGCACCTCATCTCTTCTCTGAGTAAAAGTCAGTTCTTTATCTCTCTGGGTCATTCACTTTGTGGGAACTATCTGTTTGTTTCTTTAAGTTTGTGTTCAGATTGGAACTTAGGCCATAAAGTAGGGGTTTCATTTTTTTTTTATTGTAATTTTGAGCTTTTAAATCGAATTTGGAAAATGGGTTTTTGTTGATTTAGTGTTTTGCTAAGTCTTTGAATTGTTAGGGACGTAGTATTGGAAGATTAGTTCTATGCAGTGTTATTCTTCTGTTTGGAGTTTAGAATTAGAGCTTCTTTAATTATCTTCATGGGAAGCTTTATTTTTTCGCTAATTTTTAATGTATTTCTCCAATTTGGTAGCTTTCAGTTATAGGGTATCAATGAGAAAATTTTGAATTCCACTAGGGACATGAAAGCCAAGCTAATGCATGTGTTATAAATTTCCTGGAATAAATTACAAGTTTAACCTATCCGTCAGCTTGGGAACGGAGAGATTTGGAAAGGAAACGTTAGTTCTTGATACCAATACCTTCCAGTTGATTCCAAACACTCGATCAAAGTATCTCTTGTATGTTTTATGAAATCAAAAGCTATGATCTTTATAAGAATATATATAAATGTAGCACACCACTGCAGCACCATCTCTTTGAAGGATAAGGTTGGCAGCATTGTTTATTCTGGTTACCTTAAGCTTTAAAGTAAGCCGTTTGCTCTTCTTTCGATAGGTCATATGTTTAAGTTTTCCTATACTAGCTTATTGTCATTTGGTGGTGATGTAAATGAGCCAATCGGCTGTGGGAAACTAAACTGGTCTCAATTTGCTTTCAGTGTGCCTATAGTATACCCCGTGAAACTGAGGTTAAACTTATATTTCAAGGTTAAAATCATGCTTGAGGCCTTCATTGTGTTGACAGAGTATACATGTTCGTATATAAAAGTTTATTTGATTGTGACCTATGTCTGCATGTTCATGCCACTAAAAACCTCTGAACACTCTAGAGAGTAGACCAGCAGTTTAGAAAAGACCAGGGTCATTCCCTATGGTTGTTCCGGCCACGCCTGGGATATTGTGAATATGTGAATGCACCTGCATAAGGAATTATTTAGCTGCTAGTGTTCAAAGAACTTCAGACCCACCCTTTTACTGATTTCTTGTACGCAATCATTTCTCCCTTCGCCCCTGCAATTTTCCCATCTGAGTGTTTTTGGACTTTATGGTACTCTACCTTTGATCCGTTTTGTGTTATCTGAAATACGAGAAATTCTACAGTGCTTCTCAGATATTTCTTGTGCTTAAACAAAATTCTTTGTTAGCAGAAAATAGCTGGAAGCTTCTTCCTTCTGCGAGTTCACTCTTCACCAGGAATGATTTTTATAGAAGAGGACTGCAGACTCAAACAAACCCAACCAGCCAGGCTAATGAGGAGTCTGAAAATAATGAAAATGGTACGAAGCCCAGCTGCAACTCAGCCAACGCTCCCTCCCTAATAAACAACAACGAGAGTTCTGCTCCAACTTACGCAGCTGTATCCAACTTGAAAACCTCTTCAAGGCATGATCTTGCCATGATCTTTACTTGCAAAGTCTGTGAGACAAGATCTGTCAAGACAGTTTCTCGTGAATCATACGAAAACGGTGTGGTAGTGGCACGTTGTGGTGGTTGCAATAACCTGCACCTGATTGCAGATCATCTTGGATGGTTTGGAGAACCTGTTAGCATCGAGGAAATCCTGGCTGCTCGGGGGAGGAAGTGAAAAAAGGGTCTGCTGATACATTGAATTTAACACCCGAAGATTTAGCTGGAAAGAAAATCTTCAGAGGGTGAATTCAGCTGCCGTGTAACATCATTCCAGTGACGGGCATTGAGGGTTTTTTTTTTTTTTTTACTAATTAACTTTCATCAATATATTTGTTTTCTTTTATAATTTAAATTAGATGTCTTCATCTAAATGAAATGACAGGATGCTTTACCTTTTATAATCGAACGTATTAAACAAAAACCTCTAGTTAGTCCACAAATCATGACACAATTTTTTTTTTTAATCTTGATTTGTTAATTATCCGATTAAGGGTTTCCATTTTTTTAATTATTTTATTATTATTATTTTGGGTCTATCACTGGCCTAATTTGAGTCCTCGAAAGTTAATTACCTTAATCCCAAGTAGCTTCAATTTTAAGCTCAAGCAAATAAATTTTGAGCTTATCACGTAAGATAAATATAATGAATAAACAGATAATAATCCTCTAGACAAATTGGGTTCTGTGGGTAGTAGTATGGTCAGTCCAGGACACCACTCCCCCAGCTATAAGGATGTGGAAACCAATTACAATACAAATTTTATTGTCTGCGGGAATTGCACCAATCTTCTACATTACATGTTGAATGCGGATTCCTTAAAAGGAAACACACACATATACGGACACCAAACTATACTACTTTGCTCTGCCCTACTTTGCTTCTTTTTCGTGACTGATTGAGATTTGAGAGATATACAACATCATTCTGTGTGTGTTTTCTTCCTGTTGTTTCTACTGTCTTGTAGTTTGTTTCTGGAGGGTTGCCTGTTGTTTTTTTTTTCAGAAGAGATGGATTTAGGTCCATGTGAAGATGGTGATGGGTTCGTAGAGAAAGATCCAACAGGTAGGTATGTTAGGTATGATGAAATCTTGGGAGGAGGAGCAATCAAGACAGTATATAGGGCTTTTGATGAAGTTGATGGATTTGAAGTTGCATGGGATCAAATAAATATCGAAGATGTATCTCCAAAACAACTGGAAAGATTGACTACTGAGGCTCGCATACTGAAGTCATTGAAAGACAAGAACATCATCAAGTTTTATGATTTTTGGATGGATGATAAGAAGAAGACTCTTAACATGATAACTGAGATATTCGTTTCTGGGAGTTTGAGTCAGTATTGCAAGAAACATAAGGATGTTAATACAAAGGCTATTAAGAACTGGGCCAGGCAGATTCTTCGAGGTTTGCACTATCTACATACTCATGAACCTCCTATTATTCATGGTGATTTGAAATGTGATAACATATTTGTTAATGGAAACAATGGAGAGGTTAAGATTGGAGATCTTGGATTGGCCATTGTTATGCAACAGCCTACAGGTTTAAGTGATTTAGTTACTCCAGCAGATATGGCTCCTGAACTTTGTGAAGAGGAATACAATGAGCTTTTCGATGTTTATTCTTTCGGCATGTGCATGTTAGAGATGGTTACTTGTGAACATCCATATCCTGATTGCAAAAATCCAGAACAGATATACAAGAAGGTTATCTCAGGCATAAAGCCGGCTTCTCTTGACAAGGTGAACGATCCCCAAGTAAAGCACTTCATAGAGAAGTGTCTACTTCCAGTCTCTTTAAGATTGCCAGCAGTAGAGCTCTTGAAAGATCCATTCCTAGCAACCGAAAATTCAAAAGATACTATTTCTGGTTCTATGAAGCTACCAAAGAATCTTATGCCCAAACAAGGGATCAACTTGTCACATTCAGAATCCCATTCGATGAGCATTGACAAGAAGCAGCTTTTGGTGGGATCTTTTAAAGAAAGTATCAATGAGCAGCTCCAGCTTTCAACTCCAGAAATTTGCAAGTTCACCGAGAAAAATGAATTCAGATTAAGAGGGGGCAAGATCGACAGCAATACAATTTCATTGACTTTGAACATTACGGAAACTTCAAGTGGTCAAGCAAGGAAAGTGGAGTTTTCCTTTTATCTTGATTCGGATACTGCAGTTTCAGTAGCTGAGGAGATGGTTGAACAACTTGAATTGTCGCTTGAAGATGTAGCTTATATTGCTGAGTTGATTGATAGCTTGGTATTAAAGTTGGTTCCTAGCTGGAGAACTCCATGTGGAAGCATCGCGAGTGCACCTGAGAGGCATCCTGATTGCTTACAATCTGTCAGAGATCAAGAGACCCCACAATCAATTAATTCAGAAATATCTGCGGAACATGATGTGACAACTTCCTCTTGTGCCAGCACTAGCAAGCCTTTGGAACCTTCTCATTGCAGTCTTCAATTGAATTCTAACAATTTGGGTTCAGATTTTAGGATGCTTGATGATGGGCATCTACCAGAACAAAAAAAATCTGCAAGAAATTTTGTGGGCTCCTTTATTGGTTCATGCTTTGGCATGAAAGATATGAGAGCTTGTCCTGCATCTGCTATCCAAACCAAGCAGAAGAAGTTGGCAAGCTAAAGCTAGAGCTTATGCAATTGATTTCACTGTAATAAGCATGTCCAAGAAGTCATGAGGAGAATGGAGGAAGCAATAGAGGTATCCACAAAGAAGAAAACTTCATATGATGATTAGATAGATATTTGCTCTATGGGTGGTTTTCATCTTGTAATTGGAGCTTTGATTGATTTTATTTGCCAGATTTTACTGTTCAGTTAGCTGGCTGTCGATCATTAGATTTAGTAGTGATTTTAATTAGCGAGAATCCTTGTACATAGAATTCAAAAGAACTTGTTTGAATTCATTCATTAATGACATTGAGCTAAATCACTTTATCTGATGTGTCTTCTTTTCCTGCAAGCTTCTGAACTCCAAAGCAATTGACTGAGAAAAGCTTTTTTTTGTCAATCTCTAGCCTTCTCTTTCTCTTTTGGAAGTCTCTTTCTGATCTTGGTTCGAATAATCCTAAATGTGGTGATGTTTCTCTTCCATTCTTTTAGTAGTTTTGCAGTAGCTACAAAAGTCTCTCAATCCCTTGCTGCTCTATTAATTGGATAGGTCAGTAGAGGCTATCAGATCATTTTCCTCTGCTGGTATACTCTGATCAGATACAATAGGGAACTAGACCGAGTTGCTTTATGGACTGCTGGTGGCAATGGAACGGTTTTAGAAAAACTTGTGACTGAATATTGTTTCCTAATCAATTCGCAAGGCCAAATTTGCATGATTTTCTCATGATGCCCTTTAAGTATCTTAGAATCTGATAAAGCCAAGGTCAAGCAATTAAAAAAACTAACTTTATGTGGGCAACCCGGACACTGAACTAATCAGTCTCATTGAATGCAATCAACTGGATAGAGGGACTACTCTCTAGAGTCCAGACCGTGGAAGCTACTACCAGAAGTCAACACCATTGATTTTCTAATTGCACAGTTCCCTAATGTCACATTTATTCACACAATGAAAGAAGCAAATCAGGTGGCAGAGAATCTTGCCATATGCTGTCTATTTTTGCACTCTCTTCCTGTCTGTTCCCTAATCTCATGATTTTAACGGTAACAGAATTAAAGCTGACAGCAGCATTGCAAAGCAACGCACTGTAAAATTTGCCTAACTGCTTCCTATGGAATAAGAAATTTCTGAGGGATGGTAGCCTGGTAGCCGGTAGGTGTTTCGCTTCGAATTAGGAGCTGCCTCGACGACTCTCCGAAATTTGCAGCTGCCCTGATGGCTCTTTTGAACTACCAAGAAACCTTCATCACTGGTTTAAGTCCTAGCAAGCTTACATAGCCAATCTGCAGCAGAATTACAATGTCTGGGAATAAAAAGACTACACATCTAGGCAAGAGCTGTATCAATGTTTTGCACACTCCATGATGGACAATATTTACAGCCGGATAGCACCAGAAGCAGAAACAGAAGCTTTTTTCACTACTTAGAAGGATTCTGTCAATCCCTTCCTGGTCTATAAATTTGATTGTGCTAGCAGATTATTTACGCTTAGGAGAGAAAAATCAATTGATATGAGCCTTTATATATAATGCTAAAATATTAATTAGGTCCCCAAATATAGAAAATTTAGTAAATCCACGGATTTATTTTATGAGGAAGAAGAATTCACTTGAGTTTTTCGCACAAACACCTAGTAACTCTGTCAAATGAATACAATGGAAGGGTATGATTGAGAATTAATTAATACATTGGAAAACTAATTGAGACAAAAAACGATCGGGGACCTAATGGATATTTCTCTATAGATTTTGGACTTTTATGATGTCTGTCCAAGAACTATATAATCACACACAAAAGCAAAATCGAAAATAAAACACTCTCTGTCTTCTGTTTCTTACCAGAAGCGGCAAGCCAAAGTATTAAATATGGCTTCTTGTTCTCTAATTCCTTCTACCTCTTCTTTGGCTTCATCTTCCGTACGCAAGTTATTTACCTCGAGAAACTCCATGGCTACTGTGGGTTTTCTCTCTTTTGCACCAAAAACTTCAAGCTTTATCCTTCTCTCTGTCAAGCAAAGGGCTTATCATAAAAGTCCATTTAGAGGTGATTTGTTCAAAACCAATTTATTTTCAATCTTCATTTTTTATTGGGTCTTTATTTTATCAATAAAGTTTCAAACTTTGTTGGGTTTTTGTTATTTACTGGTTTAACGTATTTATCATGGTCTCTCAATATTTTTAAGAGTAGAATTCTTTAACTGGAGCTTTTGGCTGAAGTGTAGAATTTGACGGTTTGTTTTCAAAATTTTGTGATTGAAATATGAATTGAGAGTCATTACTTTGTCTTTGTTTCAATGGTCAGCTCTACTTAATTGGATTTTGATTGATAAATTGCATAGTCAAGTTTTAATTGGAATTCCGTTGATTGATGAATGCAATATGTATATGTCATCAAGGGAACCATTTTCTTAATAGATTATTTAATGGTTGTTTTCAATTAATAAAGTAATGTATTTTAAGAGTTTCCACTTATGTTTGTGCTGCTGCTTAGGGAATTTTGAGTGTGTTGAAATGGGTTTGTTTTGTTTTGTCTGTTCTTTTTGGCAGTGAGGTCAGTGGCTGCTCCAGTAGAAGATGTTGCTGGATTTGATGGTATGATTGCTGGGACACAGCGGAAGTATTACATGCTTGGTGGAAAGGGAGGTGTCGGAAAGACAAGCTGTGCTGCTTCACTTGCTGTGAAATTTGCAAACAGTGGACACCCCACGTTAGTGGTTTCAACTGATCCAGCGCACTCCTTGAGTGATTCGTTTGCTCAGGTTGGAGACTAGAAAATACCTTTCTTGTGCTGTTTCCAACTATCTGCTTTGCATTTTAGCAGAGCTTAACATGAGTGTCTGTGTTGTTATGTGTTTGTTTTTATTCAGGATTTGACCGGAGGTACACTAGTACCTGTTGAAGGACCTGAAAACCCACTATTTGCCCTTGAGGTATGCGGGATAAACCTTCCTATGATTTTCTTTTAAGGTGGTTTTCTTTTCATGTGCACCATGAGATAATCATTATTCTAAAAAGAAAAAAACTATCTGTTGGTGATTTTATGGTGGTTTTGCTGCATTATTTACTCAGTAAGCCAGATTTTTAGTTTTGCAACAGATAAATCCTGAGAAGGCTCGGGAAGAATTTCGTAGTGCGACTCAAAAAAATGGTGGAACCGGGGTTAAAGACTTCATGGAAGGCATGGGCCTTGGAATGCTCGTTGAACAGGTAATTCCTTGTCTGTAGTTGTTGGCATTGCGACTTAAGATAGCATCTTACACTGATTGAACTTGCATTCTGATTTGTCACTCATGGTTTCAATGCTGTTATAACTAGATAGTCAATGGTAAACCTCTGTTTTTTGCTTTTTCCATTTCTGTTTGTCGTTCAAAGTTAGACTAGTAGCACTTCCCTTTTTAATATCCTTCGCCTAGAACTTTGGATCTATCTTCCTCTCCTTCATCAGAACAAAAAGAGGAAGTATCCTCATATAATGGATTATGCTTGCCTTATTGTGATATCCTATTTCTCCTGACTTGTTTTTCATCCTTATGTTTACAAAGTTAGGAGAGTTGAAATTGGGAGAGCTACTGGACACACCTCCCCCTGGTTTGGATGAAGCTTTAGCAATTGCCAAAGTATGTTTGATCTTTGTTGTTTATTGTTCTTTTGATACTGTGAGAGGCCCGTCTCTGTATTTTTCGGTTTCCTTGCTGAAATTAAAGCTTCTTGGCAGGTGATGCAGTTTCTTGAATCACAGGAATATAGTATGTTTACTCGAATAGTTTTTGATACTGCACCCACGGTGAGCATAAGCACCAGAATTCATGTGAATTTTTAGAATGGATCAACCGAGGTTCATGATTGTTCTTTACAGGGCCATACATTGCGACTTTTGTCCTTGCCAGACTTCCTGGATGCATCCATTGGGAAGATATTGAAGGTAGAAACACCAACGTGAAACAATGGAAACATAAATGTATTTGAAACTTCCAGAAAAAAACTGGAAATTTTGATCTTGAATTACTGATCTAAAATTGTTATACAGTGTTAGTTGTAGGTAGTTCCTTGAACACTACTTATAACGAATGAACTGCACACTATTTAATTTTTGCATGGCTTTGGTGTCTTTTACATAGTTGTTCGCTATGTCATATATCAAAGGAATAACTAGGATCTAGGGACGTGTTGTTAGTGACAAATAACTTGTCTTATCTCCCTTGAAACAGGTTTCTATTTGATTACCATGCATTACTCTAAAACTGTTTTCAATGTACTGCAGCTTAGACAAAAAATAACTTCAGCAACCTCAGCTATCAAATCCGTTTTTGGCCAAGAGCAAACTAGCCAACAGGATTCTGTAAGCCTGAATTCACTGGGAGATAGCTTTATGCTGCACGTTTTAAATTCACAAGCCCTTTTTTTTTTTTTTAATTCTTTCTCTTTGCAGGCTGACAAATTGGAGCGATTGAGGGAGAGGATGGTAAAAGTGCGTGAGCTTTTTCGTGACACAGATTCCACAGAGTTTGTCATAGTAACAATTCCCACGGTAATATGTCATAAAAATCTTCTTAAATACACATTATGCCTTTAGATTTTGTTACCTATGCCGTATTCTTTTGAGTCTAAGCTTGAGGGGATACCCTTTTCTCTTTCCTTTAAAAAGAGAAGACAAAAAAGGAGCAGTACACACTTTCTGTGCTCTGGTGTGTTTTCTAGAACACTGATTTGCTTAACAGTTGAGGAAACACATCCAATGCACAATATACCCTTTGAATGGCCAGGTTATAATGGTATAATTTTTAGAGTAGCTCCATTTGCATATGAGGAGCAGAAAAAGATAGCTAGAAGTATATTAGTTTATTAGGAGTGTTTTGCTTCAAAGGAATAATTACCATTTCATTTGTTTTTCCAAGGTAATGGCAATTAGTGAATCATCCAGATTGCTTGCATCCTTAAAGAAGGAGAATGTTCCTGTTAAGAAGCTTGTTGTCAATCAAATTCTCCCTGCATCTGCCACTGACTGCAAGTTTTGTGCAATGAAAAGGAAGGTATTAATTCAGTTACTGTTTGCAGCCTTGAAGCTTTCAATAACAGTATAACCACCTCCCTCATCTCCTTTGCACTTGCAGCATAGGCAAATTAATATTTCTCATTAAAATCAATAACTTTTTTGAGCTGAGGTTTAACCGAAAAACAAAATGTTAATCAATTTTTTTTTTCCTGAAAATTTCAGGATCAATCGCGTGCTCTTGACATGATACAGAATGATCCAGAACTCTCAAGCTTGGCGTTGATAGAGGGACCTTTAGTTGACGTAGAGATTAGAGGTGTTCCAGCTCTTAAATTTCTAGGGGATATTATATGGAAATAAGAATCTGTAGAATGATCCAAGCAGTTGCTCGGGCATGTCTATTTTATTTCCAAATGAAGAACTACGTGAACTGGAAGCTTAGTTTCTTTCTTAGCAAGTAAGGTCAAATGCTCTTTTCATTGCCAGCGGCAATTACTTGATACAGAAGAAGCTGAAGTCTCCAATACTACCAAATTCACTTTGAAGCCACAGAGGAGGTACTCAGCTCAGAATTCAGATTGCATAGTTGGATGGTGGAGGCCCTTGTTCTCAACGTTGTGAAGGGTGAAAAGTTCAATACATCGTGCTTGTTTTTTTGTTCCTTTCTGCTTTACTTTTCTCTTCTCGCCATGTTTTCATGTATGAGTAACTGGCCATTTTAAGTTGGTAAAGGCATACATTTTTGCATGCAACTGAAGAGCTAAATCTATCAGTTTAACCTCTAGTCTCTGTCACCCAACTTAAATTTGACATGGCACTAACAATGCTGTTCGTGTGGCTCCCAATGAGAACAAGGTGCCCATTAAAAAAAAAAAATGAATAGTGACAATTGGTCAGTACATACAGTAAATAAATAGTGAAAAGTTGTTTTTTTTTTTTTTTTTTTTTTTTTTGGCGTAATTATATGCAAATTATACAATCTTTTATCTTATATGCTTTGGTTCCCGATGTTTTCAAACTTTTTATTTAGATCCAAGGTTTTTTTTTTCCCCCTTTTTGGGCTGGTTAGGATCCAAGGGCCCGAGAATGAGGCCCAAGCGGGGCTAGCCTCGTGTGTAGCCTGCAGAAACAAGCCCAGGCATGCTGGCTTGACCCAGCAGGCCCAGGCCGGCTGACCTGGCCCTTGGGCTTGCACAAGCAAACCTAAGTCTGTGGGTTTGATTTTTTTTTTCTTTCAATAATTTATTTTTATATTTTTTATTATGTAATTGAGTGTGAAAATTATATAAAACATATTGTTATTTTTTTTGCGAACTTGTTGATCATATAACTGAGAGGGAACGTGTAACATTAGAGGTGAACGATCGGAGATGTCTTATAATTTTACGTACAATTGGATGATGAAATATTATCTATATATATATATAGTTGGTTGGTTAGTTAGTTTTATTAAAAAATTAACTATACTTCAACGTGCCTAACATTAATTATTTATTCTTTATTCTTTTTTATGATTTAAAATCAATATTTTCGTATAAAATAATTAAAATAATGTTTTGAAAAAACCTTCAAATTATTAAAATACAACCTTTATGTTAATATTATTTATTATTTTGTTAATAAATATATATAAATCAAATAATTTCAATTAATAGATAGATTTGATTTATATTAATTATTAGAAACAAAACTTTTATGAATTATTAATCCTATATATGTAATGGTTGTCCGACTCCAACTAGTCGAGTCTTAATCCTTGATATGGAAACAAATCAAATGTTTTTAGTTATTAACACCCCTCTTGTGAAAAAGAATATCATTTCTCTGCAGGAGTTGTCTAAACCAATAAAAATCCACTTCCAAGATTCCAGTACACAAATCTAGAATAAACTGCAAAACTTGATAAAATTGATTGGAGGCCAGAATATTTGGTTTGTTTGGGCATATGGCTTCAATGATTTTCCATATTTGCAAGTATAATAGAATGGCAAAAGAATGGTGTTTGAATCATGAATTCACTTCTTTTGGAAGATTATCATCCCAAAGAATGCCACAACTCGGCTAACTAGACCCATGAGTACGAGGATGAATATACATAGACCCCAATAATGGAGATTATACCCGCTTTTCATTAGTGAACCACAACGAGTAATCAACCACACCCCATAGTACCTGTGGGAAAAGAGAAACAAGATTAGGGTTTGTCTCATCAAGTCATTAGTAACATGAAAAAGTAGACAACATATAAATTTGCAAATTACTTTATGCTTAGTAAAGGCAATTGTCATACCTTTCGGCATTTGCTACCACAAATGCTTCCAAAGCCCATTTAGGATAGCACAGGTTGGCTACAAACTTCAAAAAATCACTTTTATTTGACTGAGTTGCAATGAGAGTCAAAACAACTGGAAGAAGAACTGACCACTGCAAGAAACGAGGCTTGTCAGCAAAAATAGATGACCGATGAAGTGGAAAATTGCTAATGCACCACCACTCACCAGCTGAGCTGGACCTGGTTCAAAAAAGATGGCCAAGACGTAGGCTATTCCAGTTACACAGTAGACAAGACAAAGCATGACAACGTAATTATCCGTGAAGGAGGATCTTGGGTTGGTGAAGAAATAGAACATAGAGAGGTAAACCACTGGCTTGACAACTATATTAAAGTGGTCAAATGTATCCTTGGCAAGAAAGTAAGCTACACTGCTCATGCCAGAGGCACTCTCTCTCCAGTACTGTAACTTTTCAAGAGAAAATGATCTTAAAGCCGCTATCTTGCAAAGGAGAGCTGAAATCGGCAATAAGAGTAATGGTTAGGAAGATGAGCATAAAAATGATGTCAGTATTGATTACTTCTGTTGTTTGATGTCCCATAAGTAACCATACTAGAGGCAACTAAGAGTTAGCAAGAGGCAAAAGCGAGTCATAAAACTTTAGAAATTCTGCCCTTATAAACCAAGAACACAAATAAAATTTGGAAAAAAAAATCTCACTGCTTGAGTAATTTTTCCAACTCACAAACTGCAATGATGGATTGTGCATAACCAGTAGCCCCGAAAGTTTGATCGCTAGGCTTTGTAATTGATCCTAAGCACGCTCCGGCTAGCAATAAGATCAGATAATCTGCTGCTTGGATTTTAGCTTCCCTTAGTCTCTGTTTAGCAACCCTGATTGATTATGAAGATTAAGAATGAGAACAACATAAACAGAATTAATAGATATTTGCATACACTTCAAGTTTACCTGCCAAGGAAGTATCTGTATTGCCGGAATACTCCTGGAGTTCTCCGGTATGATAGATCGCTGGACTTCAAAAAATTGTGCCTTATCTTATCCCGATGTAACTCCACATTGCTCTTAACATCTTGCCATAATTCCCCAGCAAAAGACTGTTCCCCCATTCCAGCATCAGTAGGATTTGATCCATGATCTGGATTTATGTCCACAGGTGACATAACAAGTCCAGCAGCATACTTTTGCATATCTGGGGGTATGGGGTACCCATTGTGAAGCATCCATCTAAGAGGAAGATCCTTAAAATTCACACCTGAGCTGGCACTTGGTTTCACTATACCCTCCAAAATGTCAATATAGTGGTCAGGAGGATTAACACGCTCTGGGACGCTAATCCCAAGGCCTGTAAAGTACTCTTCAACCTTCTTCACTGGACCATGATAGACAATAAGGCCCCCTTTTGCGAGAAGTACCAAGTCATCAAATATTTTGAACAAGGCATAGCTGAAGCAGAAGTTCTACCCATTAGTTAATAAAAAATTAAAATTTTGAAGCTCCTACATTCAGACTAGATCAAGTGTACGGATCTGTATTGGAAGAAATAGAGTCTATAATTTTTCTTGGTTGAGAGAATTTTCTCTCAATTCTTTTCTTTGTAAATGATTGTCTTCTTATTTGCCTGTTATATTAATTCCATTGCAGATCTCAACAGATTGAAAAAAAATTGACTTCCTATTTAACAGTGTGACAATTTATGGCACACAGATAAAATTTAGGTCAATCTCAAAACCCTGAAGTATATACTGCATGAAATGTATAATAACTGCAAATACTGCACAATGATATAGAAAACAATGACTGTCCTTATAACTCTACCTGGTTTTCCTCATTGATATGGTAATGTGCAACCACAGGAATGCATAGCAAATTTAAACTACCACTTAAAGATCAAAGATCTTCCAAAGTACAAAGTTATCATGATAGTTACCTTGGTTGGTGAACAACCATGCAGATGTTTACCCCTTCAAGAGCTTCACGTCGAAGTGCTCTAAGAAGAAGCTGAGAGGATGCACTATCCAGACCAGATGTGGGCTCATCTAAGATCAAAAGTGAAGGTTCCATGACCATTTCCAGTCCAACATTTACTCGCTTCCTCTGGCCTCCAGAAATTCCTCGCTTATCCACTGTTCCGACCAATGAGTCCCGTACTGATTGTAGACCCAAAGACTCAATAACTCTTTCAACAATCAGAACTTTATCTTGTTTTGTCATGTAAGCAGATAATCTTGAATAACCAGGAACCGATTACAGAGAGAGAAAAGAAAAGAAAAAGCAGCAGTCAGTACAGGACGGTTGTACAGAATCATCACAAAGAATGCATGAGTAAAAGTAAGGCAGAAAAGTGCCACAGAAGAAAGAGAATTAGTTTCAAGTCATGAATCGTACATATAAAACCCATACACATATCTTTCTTCTTTTTTTTCCTGTTTCTTTTTTATGTATACCCATACAAAAATCTTATCTGAAACATTTAGGAACAAATTAGTAGAACATGGTATTGGAAGAAATGGAAACAAGAATAACACAAACATGCATATGTATTGCATAGTATGTTTGTCTTTTTTATTAAAGAAAAAAAAAGCCAAAGCTTCAAAACCGATCCCATTTATTGGCAATGCTCAAATTCTCTAAGAGCCATACTTGAGCATTGGAAAACATAATTCAAAACCGAACATAGAGAAGACCTTAACTGCATGAAGCAAAGAAAGCCCAATAAAGTAAGGAGGTTAAAGCCTTTAAAGTAGGGAATCCTTGATGAATGTTGTTTCACTTAAATGTCGAGGAACAGAAACCTTATTCATTTGCTGTATATTTCACATTTCCTATTGACTGGAAGTAATTAAGCTTTAACATACTTATACCTATTGAATTATTTGTCCTAATTCCCCTACCCAAATGTAGCATTTCCTTATCCGGACACCTGGTCTCAAGCACGATTGCACCTATCTTATGTCCAATATAGACTGTTACTTATTGGTGATGAACTTTATATTTATCGTTTGTAATTAATTCATTGTCTACAGGAACTTGGTAAATAATACATGACAAATTTTCGTATAAAAAAT